GTTGCGACAATCACCATTGGCTCATCTTCACCGCTCGAGGTTCCGTCGCTCGACGCTTTAATTTTCCTTGCAGAGTCATTCAACTGGTTCAGGCAGCGATTGACAAACGCTGATTGAACGCGACGGGCACGATTAAAGGGATATGCCGTAATGACTGGACTTTTAATGTAGACAGCAACGGCCAAAGTACCAATTCCCTCGTCCGCATTCGCCGCATGGTCGGTGCCCATGACAAATCTCCAGAGTTGTTCAATGCCGTTTTCCTCTAGAAACGTATCGTCGTCGAGATCGGAGTCGACATCAACATTATTAACTGCCGCGAAGACCATTTTCTTGACACAGAGGAGCATTCCTCGGCCGAAACAGGAACAAGGGAGTTTGGGCAGATATTGAGAAAAACAGAGCTGCAGAAACGGATTTTTGGATACCTTCACAGGGCCAATCTCTATGAAGATATCCCAGCCTGAATTTCGATCTTCATCGCAAAGACAAGCCGGCCCGACGAGCAAATCCCACAGCTTCCCACCCAACTCTTTGGAAATTGCGTCGGGTCGGAGGCGAATGAGATTGGCGATGAATTCTTTTCGTGGCAGGTTAAAGCGTCCGCAGAGCACTGAAGGAAGACCGACAGTCCGCGCCAGCTTAACAGCGTGCTCCAACTCTTCCACGAGCAATCGTACAAGATCATGCTCTTGAATGAGAACGTTCATCTCGTCAGCCATATTTGGGCGAATAGCCATCGATAAACAGCATAAGCTGCCCAGCGTGGTGGGCGACTTGGCCGCAATATCCTTGATACAGCTAGAGTATAATTCTTGACGCCCTTGGCTGTCTGGACCGAACTGCAAAAGGACCCTGAACCTATCCATAAGCGATGTATGCGCTTCTAGGGTGAGCGATGGAGAGGTGGGTGAATATAAAAACGCCCGTCTTAGCAATCTCAAACAGATATCATACGGAAGAAAGCCGAGCGTTATTCCTTCCGCTCTGCATCGCGCTACCAGTTCCTGGTGTAGGGTCTCCCAGACGGCTTTGATTGCCTGGCTGAATTCTATGGGCGGAAGAGCTTGAAGCTTCTCAAAGATGGAGATGAGTGCAGGATAGTCGAGAAGATTTGCGATTGAGTTTGTCATCTTGGCAACGGCTTTCGACACGCGGGGATCCTGACTTTCCGTAATTCCCTGCCACAAACGATCGAGATGCCACTTCTCGTACATTTTAGTAACAACCAAGTATCCAATGATGTTGGAGCTCTCAGTGATGAGTTCCGGATGGCATGTTGGGCCGAGAATGTAATCTACCAGATTTGTTTGGAGAAGGAGACGGCCCAGATGGTTGGTGTAACGGCGGTTCGGAACTGCACTTTGAATGCCATGTCGTTTCCAAGCAGTGACGAGGTCAGAACACATGGTACTAACGGAATTGACCCGTACTTGCATCTGGCCAGATCGAATCAGCTTCTCGAGGATTCCTACTTTCCAGCCCCATACAATGGCATCAACGACCAGCGGTCCTTCTAGATCCGTATACTCTGCCTTGTAATCATTGAGCATCGTGATGTTGCCCTCGTCATCACAAAGCAGACAAAGTTTGAGCAAGTCCGCCAATGCGAGGATTTGCGCAGAAACACCGTCACTGCTCAAAGTCCCCACATGCTTTTCAATGAGTGCGAGTAACAGTGACGAAAAATCTCCCCAAATGCTGTAGACATGAATCAGATCTGCCTTGGCAACATCCTCATCGGGTGTGCCTGGGCGTGCAGAACGAAAAGACTCATTCAGACAGTCTGTGAGAAATTGGATTATGGGCGTGAGAATATTGGCCAGTCTCGGGAATGTCTCTACGATTTCGATGAGGCGAGTTGCAAAGACGCAAAGAGACTCGATGACCCCCCTAGTAAAGTCATGCAGTTGTTCTAGTTGTTCTGTGAAATATGCAACTAAATTTGGTCTGCCCAATGAAGGAGCATTAGGCGATCCAAAGTCACTTCCGGGTCCGAGGTTGTTGCGGTGCGTCAACTGATGGAACTGTCGAAGATAGTCTAGAGAAATCAATGGCGGGGCCCCGGAGCTAGACTCGACAGCACCGGTTTGCCAGTCGCGGGCAGTATGGAAATCGACGATTACAAACCGCGCCGTGAGCGCAACGAAAGAGCGGGACAGCGTCAATGCTGATCTCTGTAGGATTGGCAGCCTTGGAGGAGCCGAAGGGGATAGGCTGGGTAATGTCAGCTGGCTGGCCTTGAGTATTCGTACTCTAACGACTTACTTTTTGTTTATAATAAGAGCGCAGAGGCCCAGGAATGATTGCCAAAAGGCTCTGTTGTTGTTAGCCGACTCACAGATGATTTCCGGGTCTCTGGCCTTTGCAAACTCGACAAATAGGTCTAACCACACCCGGAGCTGCTCGCAGATGCCCATTTCTTGTTCTATGGGTAGCTCTACACAATCATTAGCTTCTCGAAGCTGGATATCACGATATTGGTAAAGACGACTGACGTTCAGATAGGAATTGACGTAGACGGTTCACAGTCTCTGGTAGAGTATCTGAATCATGGTAAGGAAACTGCATGGTAGGGTCTGCAGGAAGAGGAGGATTCCCAGCATCGAGGGGGCTGAATGTGTCGGCGGCAAGTTCGATGCCCGCCTGGTCTGGCATCTCATGATCGCCAGGGAACAGCTCTTCAATAGGCGGGCTGAGAGAGGCGCGCCAGCCTGTGGGCGGAGTTCGTGGACCGCCGTCGGCATTTGCGGCTACGTCAGGCTCAGCTTCCTCGACGCTCTTCTTGGCCTTGTCCTCTTCTGGAGTGGCTTCTCGGAGTGTTGATGGAGAGATGTAGCGCACGGCGGCAGTGGGGGAATATCGCATACGGGTAGGAGATGCTGTGGACGCCCTAGACGGCGGGTTTCTAAGATTAATAGTGACTCGGCTCGACGTCGGGGGGTCGGGAGGAATGGTCGGGGAGTCGACATTCTGAGGCGGGGTGCGAGGCTGTTTGGATTCCTGGCTGAGCTGGACGGTGCCATCGAGGGAAGGTATGGTGTTGACGGTGGTGTAGAATGGGCTCGAGCCCGAGTCGGACAGGTAGACGCCTGTTTCGACCGACGCCGACGGCGAGCCCGAGCCCGAGGCAGACGTGCGCCGGCGCTTGCGGGAAGAGACGTCGCTGTCGTCAAAGGGATTCAAGCGGGTCGAGCTTGGCTCAGGAGAGGCCTTGGGCCCCGGGAACTCGGACGTCGCTGGAGCCAAACCCATCTGGCCGGTGTGCGGGATCGAGGCAGCACGAAGCCTGGAGGTCCAAAGACGTCACGGCGACGCGAGGGCCGTCTGGGCGGCAGCTACAGAAAATTAACATGTGTGAGAGGATGAGTGCGGCGAGATTGAGATAGGCATGAGCATCGGGATGATTGTGACTGTGACTGTGACTGTGACTGTGACGATGACAGGGCTGAGAGAGGCTGCGGCTATGCACCGTGGATGTGGATGGCAAGACAAGCAATCTGGAGAGCCAGACCGATGCGTCAACCCCAATATCAATCCCGGAAGAAAAAAAAAGTGGTTGCAACTCGCGATCAAGCCAAATCGGCATTGGAGGGACGCGGTGCTTGTGTGGAACTAAGGCGAGGGGTAGCTGTAACTGAGGTAATGCCGTGGTGGGGAAATCGGCGGGCGAGCTTTAGCAGCGTGTATGCGGCTAATCAAGGTGCCATCCATGGATGGTTTGCCTTACCTGGGGCGGGTGTTAGCGCAGTACCTGCGGCGGCAAGGTAACTGGATCAGGCGTCGACAGTTGAGGTGCTCGTATGGGTACTGGGGAGGTGCTTGAGCGGCCGTGGCGGATTGATGCGTATCGATGTAATATCCAGATGTAATGTAATGCGTGCGGTCAGTAAGGCAAGGTAAGGATGAGGGTACGGGAATCGACCAGGCGGGTGTTTGTTTGCAAGGCAGCAGGTGAGTTCAGCATTGATCCATGTAGAATGGCGCGGCCTGGCTGGATTTTATAGACAGGGCAGGGGAAAGGAAAAGGCACCTGCGATCAGCCAGTCCGTCGGGCGCAAAACCCAGCAGTGCTTTGGGCTGCGTTTCTGCTCCGGCTGCGACTGATGCCATTAACTTTGCAAAACGCTTGAATGCGCCACGGTGAGTGCCTGCCTTGTCCCTTGCAGCCGTGTCCAGAGTGTGCGGGCTCTATAACCAGTACCTTGGGGCAACATTAACTTCTACAACTCTCATCTCTGTGCCAATAGCATTGGGAGTACCTTCTACGGGGCTGCTCAACTGGATACAGGTCCACTACCATATCAAAAAGAAGAAGAACCCCTAGGTATCTTGTTTAATCACTCACCGGGGCTGGGCTTTTTCCTGCTTTGGAAAATACCTGATGGCTCCTATTCACAGCCGAATCTTTGCATGTTTCTGCTACCAGTATTCCACGGGCAAGTCTTTCAAATGGTTTCCGACTTCAATACTACCTAACCCACCAGGCACTATAGGCACTTCCTAGGAGTATGGACCAACGTTCCTACAAATACCTATAGGTGACATCCATGTGAATAGCCCTGTGAAAGTTACCTGCAATATGTATATACAGCTTGCAATATCGACCAATGGAAAATCGACTCCAAATACCCATTTAATAGAAATACATGTAGCTACTATGCTGATTTTGCAGAAATCAATGTGTAAGTTTGGCTTGGACCCGTTCTCGAGCGCCACAGTGTAATCTTTCCTCAATAGACTCAGGTTGGAGAGTCTTTCACGCCGTTTTGCGGCGACTGAGAAAACCACACACTGTATGTGCACTGTACATTCGGAGTCTAGAGGTACGTACCCGGGTGATTCGAGAATTTCCAGTGCCAGACCCATAGTGACTGTGGACAGCCATTTTCATACTCTCGTCCAGAGGCGCCCTCAAAGCCAACCTAGTTTTTTCTACCTCTTGGGTCTGAGTCACCGTTCTTTGATACAATCACGTCTTTGACACTTGTCCACTTGTCATGGCTGCGCCCTCAGCGAAGAAACGGCTTGTCCACCATCTTGACACGCCCTTCTCTGCCTCATCATGGTACGTCCTCTTCCACTCTAGGTATATACTACTAGGTAGTGATATCTATAGGTAGTAGTTTAAGCATAGAAATGACAAGGTGGCTAATTACAATAGGCCCGAAATCTCAATCGATGACCAAGATTCAATCTTGGAGCTCCTTTGCCAGTATGCCCATTCATTCTGCCTCTTGGACATGACCACAGAGACACTTATGCTGCTGCAAAACGCAATATCTCGTGCCTCTGGAGATGACATTATGTTGACAATCAATACCAACAGCTTTTTGAGCCCTGTAGGGCAGCACCGCCGAGTCCACACAAAACCTTCCAAGGGAAAACGGGCTGCCAAAAGGGAAAAGAGAGCCAAGTCCAAGGCGGACGAGGTGCCAAACTCAGTCAAGATAACGACTCCGCCCGCCCCAGAGCTCAGTGCAAGCGTGGATGTCGGCTTCAATTCAGTTACCAAAAATCTCGGATCATGTACACAAACATCTGATGAGGCAGACGAGTCTCACAAGGACTATTCCATGGTTTTTGTTGCCAGAGGGAGCCAGTCACAAGCGTTCAACCAGCACTTCCCACAACTAGTCGCGGCTGCGTCTCGAAATATGCCTAACAAAGAGAAGATACGGCTTGTCGGGTTTTCCAAGCCATGTTCCGAGAAAATTGGTAGCGTACTTGGCATACCGCGAGTCTCGTCAGTGGCCGTTTCTCGACATGCGCCAGGAGCGGACGCTCTATTTGCTGTTGTGCAGAATCTCGTGGCCCCAGTCGACTCGCCTTGGCTTAACGAGACGCCCAGCACCGCCTACAAGTCGACTCGAATTGGCTCTGTGGAAACGACTATTGGGACGAAGAGAGAGAAATAAATCGAAAAGGTGTCGTTTTATGATTGAGCAAGGGTTTAATAAGCAGACCTTGGGGATGTAGAAGCATAATAGCGAAATTTATACAATAGAGAACCGAGCTGAGTGGCCTATTTGCTTGGGTGGGCGAGAATCGACCGTTACACTATTTTGATACCAGAGTTACTCCTAATTACATACCTAGCTAGAAATTTAGAAATCAAATGCTGCAGGTGATAAAGAAGCAGCAGCATCAGTTTAACACTTCCAAGGCACCTTGCATACACTAACACTATAAGCACGCTGCACCCTCGCTCCGTATTCCTTATCCTATGCGCCGAGGTTGCCTAAAACTGCCCTCTGTTTGGCCTACATGCAACACTGAGATGCCTATCAGCTGCTCTGTTGATTTTCACGTGCACGCATAAAGGGCAGCTGCCATCACTCCTCACCCTCGCCCTCACCTCCCCAACCTTTCAACTACGTTTTCTATTCCATCACCTCAGCAATCATCTCGATCAATCCACAACAAGAGATGAGTGGCTTTGGTGATGACGAGAAGCTTAGGGCGGCGAGAGAGCTTGCTCAAAGCTTCTCGAGGTCCAAACCCCCAAAGAAGAAGAACGTCGGCGGTAGCAGCTTTGGCCCTCGTCAGGTCATCTACGTGCCCCAGCATCACCAACCGATGCCAAAGATTCGACAACCCCCAGTCACCAAGCCAATTCTCCAGAATGCTCCCCCTTCTATCAGCTCAGTCCCCCCTCCCAGCATGAGAAACTACTCTGCCACCGCCTCTTTCTCCACTGGGAGAGCAGGAAAATCCGTCATTGGGACTTCAGGATTGGATTTCCTCAAGGCGTCGGGTGATAAGGCACGAGGTAAGGATATGCAGTCTAATCATTTAGTAGCAGGGGGGCTGACTTCTTTCAGTTGCTATGCAACCTCAACCGAGCCCAGTCACTATCGCCGTTGAAGCAACCAGCGCTATCAAGCAAACCGAGACTATTAAGCAAACTGAGAAGACCAGCAATGCTACCTTAACAATTGCTCCTCCTCCCACTCTTCACCCACAAGCACCAGAAAGTGCTCCGATTGGAAACATTCTTGATGCTTTTCTGTCCATTGTAGCAAAAAAGCCAAGCTTAGGCCAGGAAATCGACACATTGGCCAGCATCTTTCCCAAGGCAATGGATCTCAACGCTACTGAACCAGCAGCTTCAGGTGCTCCCCCAACCAATGGTCATCCCGTCGGCGATACTTCAGCCAAAGATAACAATGTGTCTCAGGGACCTAGCGTTGCAGCAAATCAAGATCGACTCTCAGCTCATTCGCCCTCGAACAAGGCTTCTCACGTCGCGACAGCCGTCGTATCCAGTAATGGTAAGGCCAAGGGACAGGCTATCAGCGCAAATGGAGTGTCGAAAGCGTCTGTTACGGTGACAAAGGGATTGGCAGCCTCGTCATGGGCATGAAGCCTAACTATGGGAGCCAACTATTTCATTCAGGCCGAATACGATCCTGATTTGCTGCATATCTATCTGGCCATTGTTGCCAGCGGCAAACATACCATGGGTGGACAAAAATACTATCGGTTTAATGGTCATAAACCATTACTTGCTCATATGGGCTCTAGATAGGGCCGATCAATTTGAAATGATTTGATTATCTTGACACTTTTTATACTATAATGCAGTGACGTAAACCGATGCCTTATCCAATTTTGCCCATCTAAATCAGCGCTCCCCTGCTCGTCTTTAATTGCATATTGTATTAAGATGATGAGGGCAAACTTTTCTCAAACAACTTTAAACCTTCTCTAACCTTTGGCGAAAAGTGCTTCTTCAAGAGCTCGCCCTCCCACACCGTCGCGGCGAACGGATTGCTGCCCTCGACTGTATCGCTCAGGGCGTTGTGGCGCCCATCTCCCTTGCGCTCCTCGGTGTTCCACAAGCTGGCAATCTTCTTGCCGTGGGTGTTCGCCACGTCGCTGAGCAGGCCGAGGGTAGCCTGGCAGGACTTGTCGGGCAGCTGCAGCGCGGCCGTCATGAGTTGCTTGCTGAAGGCGGCCAGCTTGAGAGGCGGCACGGAGCGGATGTTCCATGCGGGGAGGAGGATTGCGGTCAGGGAGCGGAGGAGCAGGACGGTTGTGGTTTGGACGTTGATCTTGGAGACGGACGATGTGGAGTTGGTCATCTTGGTGCGCTCGAGATCCGGGTGGATCGAGAGGTTGAGGAGGGAGGTGAAGAGATGGGTAGTGAAGAAGGTGAGGTCGAGATGGAGAGTGTTGCGCGAGTTGTGGGCATCTTGGCCCTCGAGGAGAGCAAAGGCAGTGACGGTGCAGAGAAGGGCTTCGCGCGTCAGGTTTCTCATGGAGACGCTGTCGTCGTCCTCGTGGTCGGCAGCGAGGTCAGCATCAACATCGTCGTCACTGTGTCGAATCAGGTCCTTGAGCGCCTCGAGCAAGTCACCAAAGAAATCTTGATTGATAAGATGGGCGTATTTGGCCAGACCCTCGAGCACGGCTCCCATCAGATGGGGGGCGCGCATTTTCAGGATGCGAAAGTACGTGGCGAACACGAGCTTGAGAGTCTCCGACTGCATCTTCTCTCGTTCCTCGTGGTCGACCAATGCGTCCGCGGCGGCCATGTCCTTCTCCAGAGACTTTTGCTCCTTCATGGCCTTCCTCATTCGCTTTGTTCGGAATTCTCGCTTGCCCTTCTTCACTTTAGCAGCCTCGGGGCGCTCAACCGTGTCTTGTGATGCCTTGCCGGCGAACTCGGAGAGCACGCGAAGGCTGAGGAAGAGATTAAGAACGCTCTCGTCTACCTCGTAATCTCGGGCTTTCATCATCTTGGACAGTAGTGAAACCGCCTCCATTGTTGGCTTGCCATCCTCGTCTTCGCGGAACAACGTCTCCAGCGCCTGGAGACACTTGACCGAATTGCTGTCGATCTTCTTCCGGCTCAGCTTGTTTACCAAGATCCTCAGTAGTTCGGAGCGGAAGTTGAAATGTGGAACTGCAGCTATCAAAGTGCAGGCGCATGTAATGGCAATGCCGGAAACACTCTGTCCTCCTCTCACTGCAGCGGTCTGGTCCTTGGCGCACCTAGCCAATTCCTTGACATAGTTCTGATAGCCAGACACGAGCGCCTGTTCATACTGGCGCATTGTGCGAACTTCTTTGGACACCTTCTCCACCGGGCCGTCTTCGGTGGCAGGCCGTATGCGATATCCAGGGATGATGTCTTTGTAAACCGACATTTGCGTCATGAGGGCCAGCATCTGAATGGCGGGGATCTTGGACTCGCCAATCGTAGCCAGCGTCTTGAGCGAACCGACATGTTCTTCCGGATTTTCATTCAGAGCCGTGGCCAGCTTGGCCAGCTCCTCTTGCGCTTCTCGGATCTGCTGAGCCTCGGAGACGGTGGGTGCCTCTTCTTCTTCCACTTCCTCGGGCTCTGACTCGATGTCGTCCTCTCGGCCCTCTAGCCATTCCGTGTCGCTCTCGACAGATACCAAGTCTTCCTCCTTCTCAAGCTCCCGAAGGACCTCCAGGCGGCCGTCGGCGGTCTTGATTGGCAGCTTGGTGCTTTCTTTGCTGGCCTTTTTACTCTTGCGACGACGAGTCTCGTAGCTGTCTTCGAGATCCCAATTGGCGGCCTGTTTGAAGAAATCCTTCTGAGCCTTTCTCGATGCTGTGGCTTGCGCCTCGTCATCCGAGGCATCGTGAGCCAATTTTCTCCTCTTGGTACCGTTGATCGTCATTTTCGCTGTTGGATTCCCAGATAATGGGAAGTCGACTGAGGCGAGGTGAAGAGGCTGAAGAACAATTTGTTCAGCGATAGACACCAGCCTCACGATAAGAGACTCCCGTCTCAAAACTTTTTTTCGAACCAATTTTTGTTAATACACGAACCCCAGCAGTCTACATATTAGCGCTAAACCCATCTTTTCCCGCAGTATAGCCAATTAGAAAACATGTATGAGATCACTATCTTATCTTTATCTAATCGCTGTGGTGTGAATATAGCAAAAAAAGTTACATGCCGCTAAAATTTTCTGACAACTTGATGCGTCGAGCCTTGGATTTTACAATCAGCCATTTCCCCAACACCAAACTCCCGTCGCCGACTGTCAAAGCATTGTCACGATGGGTTTCTCAAAACCCCCTGTCCAGGCGCTCAAAGTGGCCAACAAGGTGAAGCGCAAGGAATTGTTCATCGCCCATAAGAAGGCCAGCAACAAAGAACGCCACGAGGAACGACATCGCCGCCGGAGAGAAGAGAACCGCGACCCTGAGCTCAAGGCAGCCCGTCTCGCCAAGAATGTCCCGCGAACATTGGAACACAAGCGAGTCTGGGACGATGTGGACGATGACAGTCTTGGAGCCGTGGTGGACCTCGAGCAATTGAAGAGGAGACGCATCGAGCAGGCCGAAGCCGAAGAGCGAGCGGCAGTCGAGGAAGCAGAGAAGATGGAAGAGGAGGATGACGATGACAACGACAGTATGCTGGATTCAGACGAAGACGAAGACGAGGAGGCACGAGAGGCTAGACTGGAGAGGCAACGGGAGAAGCGAGCTCAGAGAGTCCCCAGCATTGCTCCGTCAACAACGAGCACGAACCTCGACCTTACGCCCATCTCACTAGCCCTCAAGTTCCCTTCTCTCTTCAGCGACGAACCTCCTCCCGAACCAAAGATTCTCGTCACCACATCCCTCAACTCTACCCTTCACGACGAGGCACATCTTCTCTGCACTATGTTCCCCAATTCTAGATACATCCCACGATCATCCCACCGCTACGGATACAAATACTCTCTCCGCGAAATCTGCAAATTTTCCGCCAGCAAGGACTACACTGCCGTCGTCCTTATGAAGGAAGACCTCAAAAAGCCCACCGGTCTCTCCATCGTTCACCTTCCCAAGGGCCCGACGTTCCACTTCACAATATCCAACTGGATAGAGGGCAAAAAGCTTCCCGGTCACGGCAACCCTACCAACCACTACCCCGAGCTGATGCTCAATAACTTCAAGACGCCACTAGGTCTTCTCACTGCGAAGCTCTTCCAGACCATGTTCCCCCCGCGCCCAGAGTTTGAGGGACGACAGGTTGTCGCGTTACATAACCAGCGAGATTTCATCTTCGTAAGACGCTTCAGATACGCCTTCCGTGACAAGCGCGCGACCGAGAAGAGTGTCACCGATGCTGAGGGCAAAGCGCTCGAGGGTGTCGAGAGCATTCGAGCAGGGCTCCAGGAGTTGGGCCCACGCTTTACGCTGAAGCTGAGGCGTGTTGACAAGGGCATCGGACGGGCTGGAAGCGAAGGCGAGGATGCTACTCAATGGGAGTGGAAATCAAAGATGGAGAAGGACAGGAAGCGTTTCAATTTGTAATTCATTTATGGCATTGAGAACAAGACTACTAATTTTACACTCACCATGTTGACGTTTTCTTCACACCAAGGTGCGCCCTTGAAAGGGCTCACTAAAAGGTACATCCATCGACATATGTACCTATGCCATGCCCTCTTTAGTCTACGTCGACTTCCATCACTTTTCACCTATAGACCCAATTTCAGATTTACTTGCTTTCATCTTCTTGTGCTTTCATCCTCTTGTGCTTCAACATGATGATGGAGTATCTACTTGGTTAGCCTTCACTCGCATTATGTGTGTGTATGTGCGTGGAACTTACGAAGTGATGCCTGCTACTGCTATCACAACTCCAATTGCGGATTTATCACTGACCGCACGACCAGACATGGCCCATCCAAGGCCCACGATGGTGCAGGTCTTGACGTGACCGACAACTGTACTCGATACGGGTCCCGTTTGTGCCACAATGTAGAATTGCGAAATATTGATCAGCGCAGCAAATATTGTAGACTAGTACAGGTAAGCTGAAATTTCACGAGTTGGGGGTTAGGCAGAGGAGGCATACAAGGATAACAAGCCCTCGTGTGCTCAGTCGAGTTGGCATATACATGGCGCTTGGAAAGTTATCAACAAGTGGAATAAAGAAGATGAGAAAGAAGCAGGCCACTGGCGCTTGAAGATAGAGAAGCTGCATGCTGTTCATGTTGAGTCTCCGATGATAGCCCGCAATCCAGACCGTGTAGAGAGAAGAGGCAAAGATGCCCGTAAACGCAAATATAATTCCCAGCCCAGAGGTCGTCTTGATGGCATGGTCATCCACTGGAATGGAATCGAAATATGTAACCAAACCGACTCCTACGCAGGCGGGGATTAGGGAGAGAGCAGCTCCTCTGGGAAGAGTCCTGCCGTATAAGAGGAAGTTCATGATGGCGACCGTTGGCGTCAGCAGTATTCGTGCAATTTGGTAGAATGTGACGGTTGAGTAGGCCAAGGATAGATTCGGCAGAACGACGTTGAAGCACATTGCGGTACCGAGAGGAATCAGGTGCAGCTTAGGAGCACGACGAGGCACAAACATGTCAAATGGTGGTCGAGAGAGAGCAAAAAGTAGAAGCCAAGTCATGAAGAAGTGAAGGAAGGCAAACAAAAGCTGAGATTGCTTCCACCGCTTCTCCGAGAATATGGCCTTGTTGCTGAAGACCTGTGACATTTGTTAGAAGGCAGGCGTGATAGTGTGTGTTTAGGGGATGACTTGCTATGCCGACCGTCGCCAGAGTATTGACAACCATCCATGCGATGGCCTTGAGAGAATCGGCTTTGGGTTTGGGTTCTGCGATCCCGTCAAGAGACAAGAAGGGAGGCTCAGAGGCGGCATCTTGGGCGGCTCTTCCGCCGCTGTTTCCCTCGAGGTCACGCATTTCTTTGCTTAACGATTGTGAGAGCTTTGCGTTCCGTCAATTATTAGAGAGATGAGAGAAGACAGACGGTGAGCTGTATCAACGCCGCGACAGCAGCTGGAGGTTTACAGAACTGAATATCTGCCGTACCAAATTCTTCGAGAAGATGCTGTTGTCTGGAACAGATGGAAAATTTAATTGTTGGGGGATTCGACAAAATCATGGGGGCAAGAGTTGGAAGGAACTCGCTACTTGACCGCACCTTACTTGTATTGAGCATCGCCAAAGGTGTATCGAATACCTGTATTATCGCAATGTACCTAAATTGCAAATCACTATGGAAGAAAATTGAACTGTGGGTTATAATACAATGAAAGACGCGTTTGTCTTGGGGCGGAATAATTCTTTGCTAATTTAACATGAAAATGATGGGCTTCTGATAGTATCCTGATCACGTCTACTTCCCCCTCTTGAATATGTACCTAGACGCTAGATTACAGGTACTGGATGATATCGACATTAATATGCAACTGCTAACGGACCTCAAATTGGCAAATTCATCTCTCTGTTGCCCGGGATGGCTCCAGTCACAAAAGCGAGATTCACTCCTTGTCGGAAAAGGAGGCAGTGGGTAGAGCCACCGTGGTGGAACAACCCGATTTCCTTTCCCTTCTCAACACTCGCAGGAAGGCATTTGGCCTCGAATTTCTGCAAGATCTCGCAGGACGAAACGTCAGCCATGCCGATATACATGGCTGCCATGAGGCCAATTGGCTTCGGAGCCTCGATGAAGAAGATGGCTCGCGTGGCAATGTGGCTGATGTAGCTCTGGACGCGATTAGGGGAAGCTGGATCAGGGCCCTCGGAAGACGTGAAGCCCTTGGTGGTGGGCTCTGAGAAGTAAGTACCGTCAACAACTTCGGTATGGACGACTTTCCCGGACACGGGCGAGTTCCATCTGTGGTAGGACGTGGCGCTCAGAAATGCCTGATACACGGTGCCGCCGACAAACTGCTCGGCAAATTTGTGTCCATGAAGCATCTCACTGACTGAGTATGCTTGGCCTTTGAGCCAGAACGAGTCGTACTCCCGGGCATTGGACCGCAAGGCAAAGGGTTTGGACTCGCACGAATTTGCTATCCACTCTGGTTGCCCCGGAAAAGCGACTGGGCGAATTTGATCAATATTTTTGAACTTGCGGACGAAGAAGTCATCCCAAGATTTGAACCCCCAGTGCTTGGGATCTCCTTGTGGATCACACTGGAAGATCTGCTGGAATGTCAACTCCTGGCCAGCAAGGTTGGTGTCGTTTTCGATGCTCATCAGGGAATCTTGGCTAAGCCAGCCATCTTCACCGGTCGTGATGACATGTTGAGATTTCGCAGTCATTAAAACTTCGGATTTCCAGGTATTGAGGATGTGTTTGAGCTTCGAATTGACCTCGGGCTTGAGGAAGAAAGCATAGCCGCTCGCTGTAGCCATTGGCCAATCCAAGATGGCGTTGAATGGAAATCCAATCAAACCAGCATCGTATTCGAGTTTTTTTCCAAGAGGGAGCCTTGTTGTTCATGACAAAGTCGAACATCTCGAGCATTTCGCGGTATGATTTGATTTGCTTGTTCCCAATAGGATCCTCATTGTAGGGAGCCCTGTCTGGCACTTCGTCAAACATGCCCGAAGCCAGCATTCGAAGCTCAGCAGTGCTTTCGATGAGCTCTTTTAGTTCTTGTACCGGCTCACTCAAGAACAGTGAGCTTATAGAAGCATCACGCTTGTGTTTGTTAACTTCGGCGACCAGGTCTCCCAGCCAGCTGATTAGAAGCTTGGGATTCTGGGGCAGCCAGCCACCGACCCGGTGAGACTTTTGATGAGGAGCTGGAAGAGCAGCTGGTGGTGTCGTGGCGGTGTTAGAGAGTGATTTCTCCCTTCTTTCCGGATTGATATTGACATGCATGGTTCATACGAGATGACAACGTATATATGTACGGAGTAGGTGTTGCTAGATGCTTAACTGAACAAAAAAGGAAAGTTATTTTGACCTGATATTTATAGAACAGATTCCTTGACTGAGTCCATCTTTTGACTAAGCCTGTCAATCTGACTGATGAAAGAATTCCCTTGCATATTTCAGCTATCATGATGTGTGTTACATGCACTCTCAGATATCCAGTCGTCATATTCCCGCCCTGTGTACTCGGGAGCTCCCTTGAATACCCAAGCGCCGGTCTAGACTATGATATCCATGCCTTGTAATCGGCCACATTAGCACTTCGCGGGCAATTCCGTGTATTGCCGTGGTGGCACCAATATTCAGCCGCCGGCCAGGTTCGATGCCGAGACTCCTGAGTGGCCACTCGCGTAGCACATTGGCGTGTGAGACAAGGCTCATATATTACTTGATTAATCTTGCATGCTGATGAGGCTGCATGGTGCAACCCAAAATATGACCGATCCGATGCTAGTAATGTTACAAACCGGCTTCAATTAACCGGGGAAATGCCTCCTGGTAATGGAATCAGACAGCTGCTGCGATTGACTCGGTCGTGGGCCTATCGCGATGTGTGCAGGCTGGGGCTGGAATGAAACAACTGGCGGTAAGTAGCAGTGCATTGCATTGCATCAGATTCGGTGAGAGGACCTCACCTAAGATAAGGTACCCCAACATTGTCCTACTAACATAAAGTTATCACCCCTTGATAGTTGAGTAATACTGCCTGTCGGTGGGAAGACATTGATCGTGTCGTCAGCGAATCACAGCTGGGTAGTTGTTAAAGAGAAGCTCAGCTCGATTCAATCCCTGGCTGACCTGGCCAGGTTCCTTGGCTGCATTACCTTATGCAGGACAGTACGGAGTACAATAAAGGGAAATGAAAACCGGGCGCCAATGGCTGCTGTGCCGCGTCGGTTCAGCTAAGCTGGAGACAGGCGCCGACGCCATGGCCTCAAGGTTGCCAACCCCTGAAGATGATATTTATTCTCACATCTTGATGGGAAGCATATAAACTGATGCTTGGTATCTGGATCTACAAACAAACCTATCGGTAAGAATACTGAATGAATAATTTATTACCAGAATGCCAGTGAATCAAGTCATACGAGAAATGCGAGTCACTTCCGGTGCTTCAGTCTTATTCTGGAAGCTAAGACGAAAATATTGCTTGATTCGGTAAATCGCTTGTTGCATGCAAACAGTTGATGCTCAGGGAACAATAGTAATAACTTTATAAGGATGCGTATCGCACTAGAGTCAGGGCCAAGATTCACAGGTTGATATCGAAGGGAGAGAGTGTGTGAAAGTTTGCTTAATCATGCGATATATATCTGAATCCTGCAGCTCATACCGTGGAACAACAGCTCAGCCACTACAGATTTAACAACTGAATTCTACTCTTCCAGCTACAGATAGTGTTTTGTGAACAAGATATAGCCAGAGAGGGACCCCTGGTGACCCCCATCGAAGATGCACTTCGTTTCTATACACCGATCCAGTCTAACTCGACGCCTTCGTATCATCGAAAACCCGATCATGTCCAACGTGGAAACCGTCATGTGCCATTGTCGAGGCTCGCCTAATGCCGGTGTGATATTCTCCCGTTGCTATGATGACTCCGATGACGGTCCTCTCTAGAAACACTGGTTGTACGCTGCACATTAACAATATACTCAATTGCAAAGATTCTGAAACGGGAGCCCAATGAAGTCTTACCTCGGCGGGTTCTTCCTTCTCCTGTGTACGTCAGTGCCATACATAGCAAGGTTAAGTCGTCTCCTAGTATCCCAGCTCAGAGGTGTTCCCTAGTCCTTTGGAGCTAGCATGACGACATATTCCCGCGTGCTGTGTCCAAACAAGATCATATCCTTGTCCCTAAGTTCGAGATACCTGCTATCAGGCACTTTCCCGTCATTTAGAGTAGTCCCATTGGCGCTCTCCAGATCAATCAAATAAGGCTTCACTTTGCCAATCTTATCGCCAAACTCGTTTCTTTTCTCGGTGTAGCGGAACTGTATCACGGCATGTTGTTTGCTAATGCTCGGGTGTTCCGCGGCGATGTCGACAACGGCCATTTCCCTCCCGACCAGCCAGCAGCTCCTCGCGCTGAGCTCGATGGTGTCAATTATATCACCGCCCTTGAACACAAAGAGCTTCCACTGGTCGCGTGGGGGTGGCTTTCGCGCCTCTGCGGGCTCATGGTACTTGAGTACGATCGATGTGCCGTCCGCCTGGGCAACGGAGTTGGACAGTGCAGCCAACCGGCCAGTGTTTCCTATGTTTGGCTTCTCTTTTGGCTTTTCCGGGTCTCCGCCTTCTTGCGTGGTAACGGCAAATGAGGCTTCTTGGGAGGGCAGTGGTCCCGACCTCCTCACAGGGCTTTCTCGACGACGGGCCAACGCGCGACTGTCGCGCTCCGAATCATCATCTCTCGACCGATGTCGGCGTGAGCGCCGATGGGTATCTGATTCTTCAGGCGAAAATCGTCGTCTTCTCTCGCGATCACCACTGCGGTCTCTGTGTCGACGCCTCCTCTCGTCTTGATCCTCATCGCGGTTGCGGTGCCGCCGAGACGACTCTTCTGGGGTTCTCGATCGTCGTCGCTCGCGATCTCTACGTCTTTCTCGGTCCCTATCTCGGTCGCGGCGGGATGCTTGTTGTTGACGTTAGCATCTACGATTCTTTGCATGCTTAGGAGCATCCTCACAATCGTCGTTTCTATCGCGGTGTCGACGAGAAGAGCTGTGTTCTTCCTTTGACGCCATGGTTGGGCGCGCAGTGGTCGAGATCAGATTGATGCTTCGCAGTAATTCAAGTAGGATAAAAGAAGAAGAGAGGCCGCTACTAAGTAAAATGAAGATGAATACCGATGGTAGGTAATCTAAAGTAGCAAGGTGCAAGAAGGAGGTTGTTGAAAATGCGTCGCGTATCGATAGCAGATGTAATTGCCGGGGGGATGTCGCTATAAGCCGGCACAAGCCCTGTGGAGCCTCGGGACGCAAGAGCTTCAACAGCATCCAAATACTTTGGGGAGCAGCAATCCTACCCATGCATCAGCTCCCTTTTTAATTAATTTTAATTCTATGATAAGCACTTAAACACTGAATAATACAGAGATACGATGTTAAATAGGGCATTAAAGCTAATAGATCAAGAGCAAGGTGGTGATTTTGAAAGAGCTCAGTTGCGATTAGCTTTCGGACATCAACCACTATAAACTGCTGACTTGTTAACCTTGGATATCAGTCTCAATAATCTTTTCAACAGCTTCATCCACTCCCTTGACAATCACAGTCGGATTCAATCCAACCGCACCGCCCAACCCATCAATCCAGCCCAGATTCGGATTCCGGTTAACCCAGGCACTCCTCCACCCCGCCGCCCTCGCACCAACAGCGTCAAAAGGATTCGAGGTCACCAGCCATAACTCGCCTGCCTGAGATTCCAAGTTCACAACCTTGGCAAAGTGCTCATACGTCCGTCGATCAGGCTTAAACACCCGCAGAGGGTCAACGCTGACAATCCGCGAAGTCGGCAAGACAGAGCTAGACCCAGCCAGCGACGGCGAAGTGCTCAGCGACGATGCAATCATGGATTCGGTGCCGTTGGAAAAGACATATGCCTCAATGTTGGGAGACTTTAAGATGAGGTTGAGGGCTGCTTCGACCTCGGGGAATGCGTCTAGACCGTTGTAGGCATTCATGATCGTCTCTTCTTGCTCCGGTGACAGCTTCTCGCCGACCTCTGCGGTAGCATGCCGGAATGACCATCGAGTCAATTCACTAAACGACTGATACATGCCTGGAAACACCATCGTCATTACATGTATCCATCGGCAAATAATGAACCTCGTGCCTCTTTGCAGCGAATGTCTCGGAGTAAGACTCACCCATGCTGTTTATCCGCCATGTATACTCCAACTGATACCGCCGCGCTTGTGTCGCAATTGTCTTGGCTTTTTCATCTCCAAACAGGCCGACCAATGCCTTGACAATCGAGTCCGTGGATAGTATGGTCCCGTAGAGGTCGAATGCGATGATGGTTGGAGCCATGGTTTCAGCTGACCGGGGTAACATGCGACTACCTAGCAGATGAATACCGATGAGTCAGGCGGCAACGGATTTAGTAACGCAGGCTGCAACGATTCGAACAATGCATTGGATGCAATTGGCGACAACAACAACAAGAATTGTAGAATGAGAACTCGCGACAGGATTCTGCAAGATTCCATCACATTTGCAAACTGCTCGTGAGGATGGTCTTTATGATGTTATATAAACTCTGTACCCCACGATTCCACATCATCTGCAGAACAATTATCCGCAGTCCCAAACTGGCAACAGTCAATTCCCCAATCTATCTGGTGACCATCCAATCACGTCAGTATCCTGTGAACCACCAGCACCTCTGCATAACCGAATTGCCGCCCGATCCGACGACGGAGAAAGCAATCTAAACAGAGGAACCATGTCTGACGAGGACAGCCTCAACTACCCGCTCTTCCGTGATTGTCTCTCAGCCACCATTCTCCAGCCTGTCCCCGCGCCGGAGCCGAAACGCAGGCGGCGAGCCAAGGCGGGGCGCACATCTCCAGTCCCGACTCCGGTCCCGGGTCCGGACCAGGATGCCGAAGAGCTCGCCGACTTCATCGATTACCTGGCCGACGGAATCTTCCAGAATCTCCCGCAGGATCTACAGGAGCTGGACTACCGCTCGTGGAGGGAATCCGAGGCACTGCAGGCGCAGTATTCCTTGCCACTGACACCAGACAGCCTGGCGAAGCTTGACTTGCCGTCCTCCATCTGGGAGACTCTCATCACATACAATCTCATAGCTCCGGACCCGACCCAGCCTTCACATCTCCCTCCCACACCCGAAGCGTTCCTGCTTCCCATCTTGACGGGATACCTCACCCCTCTCATCGAACCGCCGCCAGCCACACCGTCCACTCGCACAGACGCTTGTGAACTTTGCGAGCGATCTTGGATCCCTCTATCATATCACCACCTCATTCCTCGGTTTGTGCATGACAAGGCCGTAAAGCGCGGATGGCACCGCAAGGAAGATCTGCAGAACGTGGCGTGGCTCTGTGGCGCGTGTCATAGATTTGTGCACCGGTTCAAGAACCACGAGGACCTGGCAAGGCATTATTATACAGTGGAGCTCTTACTGGAGGAAGAAGAAGTCAGAAAGTTTGCAGAGTGGGTTGGGAGGTTGCGCTGGAAGGGCGGTAAGACGAGAAGTAGGAGGTATTAGACGTGGCTGAGGAAAGCTGCTGGCTTTGAAGGGTTGCGTGGCCTGCATCTATTCCGACCTTCAGGCAAGAGTAAGATGGGCTTTTGATATGTGTGAGCAGTATTCTCACTGATAGCCCTCTTCTTTTAACTCGCATTTGACGAGCATTCAAGATGCAGCATCTTGGTCCGTATATCGTGCGAGTGAAAGGATGGAATAGTGTCGCTCATGTGAGATGTGTGATTGCGATGTGGAGAAGGCATATGCTAGTCGTAGTTGTAATCATTAAATTCGAGCCCTCCTTTTTTTTGTTCTAACTGGAATGCTGCGACGTATGATCTCGCTCGTCAGGCAGTTTGATGTAGTCGCCGCTTTTTCTGTATTCAGACACAATCACCTCCTTTGTCTGTATGATCCCTCCAGTCGGTTTGCGCTTCGGGCCTCCGCTACCAGAATACGTACTGCCGCCAATGGTTTCCATAGCAATCCGATCTCCGGCTTTATCACTGTCGCCCTGCGCTTGTTCACGAGGCGTGGATCTTTCTCGCCGCCTCTTATTCCAGAATGAGTAGAGTGTCGGCGCATTAACGACAATGGCAGCTGTAAGGAGCTCGGTGCTTGCCCAGGTCGTACGGTTGACTTGGCTATATGGATGCGAAGAGTTGATTGGTAGTCGGATGACAGTAATAGCAATGATGAATATACCAAGTGTGAACAGTGCCAACAATTGAGCTTTTCGAGCTAGGGGTGCCTTGAGTTTGACGATAACCGGGATCGGGAGGACGATGAGCATAGAGTCTGTTATGATATTGAGAACACCAAGCACAATAAGTTGCATCTGGGCTTGAGCACAAGAGCCTGTATGGATGGTTAGATGAGATACAGGAGCCTAATCGCGGATAATAGGTCTCGTTCATACCTGGGTCAGGAAGAACCTGCCAGTAGAGGTGAAAGGGTTTGCACTCGCTAAACGTAAAGACCTGAACAATGGTATAGGTGACGAAGAAGATGAAAAGATAGGACGTTAGAATCCATTTCTCATACGGCAAGTCGTGAATAAGTCGTCGATAGAGATCCAACAGCACAAGCTTCTGCAACCAAAGACTGTATTTGACCCCAATCGTTAATTCCCTTGAATCACACCCCAGATCTGGTAAAGGAGAGACTCCACGGAGCACACTGACTAGGAGTTATAAAATACGCGATTAGCGATGGACAGCTTGCTGCCGATCTCCCGCTGATAAATCTCCCTGGAGGTAAAGTGATGGCCCAGGCGCTGGGCAGCAGTCATGTTATTCGTGCCCCAAGTCAAGACAACGTGAATCATTCCAAGTCTGATCAGAGCGCACGCGGCAGCGGCCATGGTAAGACGGTCGCCGAGGTTGAAGTCTTGCCGAGCATTTTTCCTCCCCCAAAGCCTTATTCCCATGATGATGAGTGCCAGGCAGCTAAACGCCCAGTGGATAGGAAGTGTGGGATCCATGGCTAGGCTGGCGTCGTTGCAAGCATCCTATTCCGTCGACCGGCGATCACTGTGATGCTTTGAGACGCAGCTTTGAGAGAGATAGAGAGAGAGAAAAGATGAAAAATTACAATCCTGTAAAGATTCAGGTGGATGAATCAGCCATGCGAAGAAGTTGAGCACACGTCCATTAGTTGATCTTCTGCCGAGAGCGGGCTGCGGCACATTAAGAGAGTGGAGTGTCTGGCGATCAACAAGGACTCCTTGAGCATGAGAGGAGAAATTGCCTTTTTCAAAAGGATGATACCTTTCATACGAGTGCTAGCATCGGCAGCTGAGGTTACAGTCCTGCAAGGATCTTGTGCGTCTGAAGCGAGGTTACGGAGTGTAGTCATCCTAATGTCGCCACAAAGGGGATGGCCCTGAACCTTGGAATCGCGTAACCGCAACTGGCGGGAAGAAGCGTATTTGGCAGTTGAGCAAAACTCGTCCTGCTAGGGGCGCGGCGACAAAAATACGACGCTTGGAGATACCCAATTCTCCCGTATAAGTGGCCGCGGAAGACTGGCATCAGCTTCCCCGCGATACCCGGACCCTAAGAGAAACTACTACCTCGACTAGCCAACGGCTAGCCAGTAACTCTAAGCATAAAGAGAGTTTGACCGACATGAAGCTAGTACATACGGGCCGTAGCCGTCCGTGATGGGTCGACACAGTGTGGTTTGAAGCGCGGCCTCCATACGGGCTTTTCCGACTTGACGAAGCATGTCGTTGCGATATTGTAGCCTATCCGAGTCGAGTCCGAAGATTCAATGCGAGTCATGATACGTTATTCAGCATGAGATGTTTTGAATATACAAACAGGCCGGGTGTAAATGAACTCATGTTATGGCATACTCCTTGGACAGCGTATCATTTTATGTGCGTGTATAGGAGAGGGCTAGCTACCTAGGACTAGCACTACCACCTTAGCATCAGCTCGGCTTTTCAAAATGAACCGAACCCTTGTCTCGTGTTAGCTGCGAGGAAACGGAAATGCAGGTTTCAGGGATAAACCCAGATGCGTGGAAGATTTCTTGGCGGGCAGGGTGCCTGCATTCGGGAATCAAGGCGAATCTGCGGGTGTTGGGCTTCCAGGATCTTTGCGCAGTGCATTGATCACCAAGCGATTTCTAATTTTATACCGGGAGCAAGTCCTGGATGCTGTACAGCAGCAGCAATAGAGGCAGCACTCGTTCAGTATCCGCACATTAACAGCAGCCTACAAGGCGGCATTAGTAGAGCATGGTGCGGTCTTAACGTACCAAATAGTATTAAGATGAAGGCGCTAAATAGGCGCGCTATCACCTACTAAGCAAAAAAGCCCAGCTGCACGAACTATTTCTTCGAAGTTTCCGCGGCTTGTAAAGTCGGTGTCGCAATTGCAAGCCCCGGATCCTCATCCCGGCACTTGGCTTGCCCCGGTTTGGGGATGGCGACCTTGTGTGGCTGTTTCATGGTGAAGGTAAGAAAATCCATCGTTGAAACTGGAGCAATCAATATGGGCTAACAATGCGAGATTTTACCACCTCGGTATAGTCTCAAGTACCTATCGATAGCTTAGGTACTAACTGCTGTGGAAGCTACAACCATCGCAAGTGCCTTCCCCCGGCGTTGCGACGGAATGCCGGCACTGAGGCTGTCGCGGCCAAGCCCGGACGCATTGCGGGGGCATGGAGCCGAATCTTCCACCAACAGCTCTGTCGACATGACCGCTTCGGGAAGACAAGGCAGGCCCACGGGGGAGCACCTGCTCAGCTTCGAGACCGCCATGCTACGAGTACTCGTAACTACATCCTGTGCTCCGTAGTAGACCTGCACGGCCCCGGTCGAGGAAAGAGCGAGCGAGCCATGTCCCCGTCGAGGTCATGGGAGCTCCAGCTCTCCTTCCCGCTCCCTTCTGTAACCTGTTCACCTTGGCTGCTTGGCTAGACGGGTTCGCTTGCTTCCTTCCTTCTCCTGCACGGCCGCTGCTACCATCTCCTTGTACAGTAGGATTCTAGGCCGCCACGCTCGCGCTTTCCCACGTGGAATTCCCGCTTCAATTGCAACCCTCCAGCTCACGGCAGCAACAGAAACACGAAGTCGCTTGGAAGTCGCTGCTACTGCCTCTCCTCCCACAAGTTCCTCGTCCGGCCGTGTACAAGTAACCCGATCTCTCCCATAGCGACACCGACAGGCCGGTTCCCAATCGGAGCTTCCAAGACCTCATTATGCGGCTCATCACAACTGCCACGCTCTTGGCTTCTGTTCTGGGCCATGCTTATGCTGACGATGGCGCCAGCAGCCTGTCATCGGCCTCATCCGAAGTAGCGGCCATTCGCAGCTTTTTCTACACTGGCGGCGGCTATGCGGACGATGGAGCGGGTGGGCACATCTATCGCGAGCAGATGTACGTCGAGAGGCTTCAGCCGGCCAAGGGAGTCAGCCGAGCAACGCCCATTGTCTTCATCCACGGCCAGGCCCAGACAGGCACAGTAAGCTGCTTACACTTTCTGTATACATATCCATCGTCTTGCATCCGCCATTCATTCGTATTGTGGCACGGGCGCTGGCACTACTCTGCCGCTCCCAGCTGAGACGCAACGGCCCATTAACATGCTATCCCTATGATATGCTAGCTCTAGCAGAAACCGACAGAACCCCCTGTACAACGACGGAGAATCTCGCTAATTCACGACTCGCCTGCATCTAGAATTTCCTAAACAAACCTGATGGCAGTCGAGGCTGGGCATCCCAGTTCCTCGACCAAGGATATGAAGTCTACCTCGTTGACCAGACGCTCCGAGCGCGTTCTCCGTGGCAGCCCGCCTACATGGCAGCCATGCCGTCCACTTACTCAGCTGAGATAATCCAGCAGCGTTTCACCGCCGTCCAAAACTACAATCTGTGGCCACAGGCCGCCTTGCACACTCAGTGGCCGGGCAATGGCTCCATGGGCGATCCCATCTTTGACACCTTCTATAGCTCCAACGTCCAGTTCATCAACAACGCCGTCTACCAGCAGACCACGGTTCAGAGCGCCGGTGCGGCGCTGTTGGACAAGATTGGGAAGCCCGTGATTCTCGTTGGCCACAGCCAGGGCGGCATCATGCCCATTGTCATTGCCGATGCTCGTCCCAAGCTCACCAAGGCCCTGATCCTGCTGGAGCCCACCGGGCCTCCTTTCCGAGAAGCCATCTTCAGCACCACTCCCGCTCGTGCCTGGGGACTGGCTGACATTAAGCTCACCTACTCACCCCCTGTCACCGTTCCCGCTGTGGACCTCGTGCAGCAGATCTATCCTGCTCCTGATCAGAACCATACCGATTGCGTGCTCCAGGCCTCTTCGCCAGCGCCACGGAAGCTCTCGAATCTAGCTAGCAAGCCTATTCTGTTTGTCACTTCCGAGTCGTCCTATCACGCACCTTATGACTACTGCACAGTAAGCTACCTCAAGCAGGCGGGCTGCAATCAAACCACCCACCTTGAACTTGCAAAGGCGGGATTCCACGGCAACGGTCACATGTTTTTCATGGAGAAGAACAGTGACCAGATTCAGCAGACGGTGCAGAGTTGGATTGCCAAGTTGGCCTGAGTAATATCATGAGTTATTTGTGTAAGACATCAGGAACATTTATGTCATGTTGAATAGACATTACTGCAACTGCTACTATAAATTGACGTTTTAAACATCCACGCTATGCGGCTGAGTTGTAGACCCCCTAATGGCCCGTGAAAATCACGCAGACGTCTAATCAAGGGGTACGAATACAAATATCTGGTGACAGGAGAGAGACGACATAAAACAAAAAGCTAAAGGAGTACAATTATACGGCGTATTCGAAATGGCTTGCAATGAACTTTGTGGTAAATTTCTTTGGCTCCCGCGCTCTTGTGCTCTCTCTCTCTCTCTCTCTCTCTCCCGTCCAAAATAACCCCCCCTTTCTAGTCCACCCAAAAACCCATTCCCACGCTCAGCTAGCCAACTCATCAATTATATAACACCGTTGGAGCGGTATTCAGCAATCCGCTCCCCGCTCCGTCATCTCCATTTGTGTGTGTTTGTATGTGCTCGTTGTAGTCGTGGTTTTGGGCTCGTCATTTTCATGACGCGATGGGCATGCTACCTGGATTGGCTTCTTCACCCTTTAGCTTCCCCTTCCCCCCTTACAGCTTTTCCTCCCACCTCTCCCTCCTTTAATTTGCCCATACTTTGACAGTCATGTCGACGCTGCCCGTCGCAATAACACAGCGGATTTGGGCATCGGATATATCTAACGCGGCGGCCGCCGCTCTTCTAGATGCGTTGTCGTTGTCGTTATTCGCCGTGCCGTTACCCGTGGGTGTGTCTTTGGGCTTCGCGGGAGCCCACCTCAGAGAGGTGATGAAGTGCTCGTGGGCGCTGGACAATGTTCTCACGCACTTTCCGTCTTGGCTAAGGTCCCAGCATCGCAGCGACTTGTCATCTGCCACGGAGAGCAGATACTTGCCTCCGGGGTGAAACATGACGCCCGAGACCCAGTTGTCGTGGCCGACCAGGGTCTTGATACAGTTACCTCTAGCATCCCACAGCTTGATAGTCTTGTCTCTTGACCCGGTTGCCATGAATTCTGATGTGCTGGTCGCTGGCGGAGGCTTCTTTAGGCCCGCTAAAGCAGCCAGGTGCTCGTACGCGGAGGGGGGTGCAAAAGCACAGCAGCCGACGACGTGCTCGTGGCCTATCAGGGTGACTTTTGTCTCGGGGTTTGCGACTGTGAGTTCCCACAGCCTGCCAGTGTGGTCACCGCCTGTAGACAGGAGGTAGTTTCCGTCGAGGGACGGGCATACATCTCGCACCCAGCCCGCATGCCCGTTGAGTGTCTTGACGCAGTATCCCGTGTTGGCGTCCCAAATCTTGAGCGTCTTGTCGCCGCATCCGCTGACGAGCATGTTGCCTGAGGAGAAGAATCCAGTGCCGCCAGAGGGGATGAATCGCACTGCGCTGACGCTGTGTTCGTGGCCTGAGAGCGTGCGTATGTTCTTATACCCGTCTGCCGGGTCCCATAGCTTAATCGTCGTGTCGGAGCTGCACGAGGCCAGCAGGATGCCGGTCTTGGGGCCGCCGTAGTCGAGGTCTAGAACCGGCCTTGTGTGTCCCTTGATTGTCTGCTCCAGATCGCCGAGCTCCCAGTCCCAGACCTTGATGGTGCAGTCCTCGGAGCCTGAGGCTATCGACGTAAATCTCGGGTGGAAGGCAACGCAGGTGACGGACGCCCGATGCGATTCGAGGGTATGTCGTGAGGGGGCTTTCGGAAGCCAGGAGGCCGGGTCCTTGTTTTTCTGTGAGAGCGACGAGGGCGTCGCGTTGTCAACCTCGGACTGAAGCTCCGCGTTTCGAGTCTCAAGGTCCATAATCTGGGAGTCGCAACGCCTGTTAGACAGCCGGGTAAGCGCTGGGCAGCCAAGGTGAACGGACATGCCTTTTTCTGTAGCCGGACAATACTCGTCCATTTCTTCTCTAGCAGAGTCTCATATTTCTTGGTCATGGCCGCATCGAACACGTCTTCCCCGAGGTCGAGTTCCTCCCTGAGCACCGAGGCGGTACTCGCGAGGTTGTTGGCCGCGAGATACGCTATAATCGACTTGTGCCTACACAGAAGCGCCCATAGTTAGCAAAGGCCTGCTCTCTGGCGCCTGATGTCTTTTGTCTCAACCCTCTCTCTCTCTCTCTCTCTCTCTCTCTCTTTCTCTTTCTCTCTCTCCCTCTTCCCGTCGTCCTGTGCCCCTCCGCCAACCCTTGTAAACAGTGGCCATATACCTACAGCTCCTCGGCCTGCCGGGCGGGCAGTGTTCGACTCATGGTGACGGTGTTTGGGGTGCGCCTCTGGCCACGCGTCAGCCTTGCGCAGCTCTAGACAATGGGCTAGAAGCCGCACTCGACGCTCGACATGAAATTGGTTGGGCGCGTTTTCGAGGAACTTAGTACCTAGGCGGTCTGGGCGAGGTTTAGGTGGGATGGTGGTTTAGCCGTCCAAGTGGGAACTCGTGGGCGGCGGCTTTGGGTGCTGGCCGCAGCTACGAAGCTCTGGGGAAAACAGGCGGTAAAATCCCGACGAGGACGCGGCAGAGGGAAATTGAGTCTCGTCGAGATCAATCCCCAGATTCAATCGTCGCCAATAAGGAATTGCGGATGCATGTATGTACTTGTACTGGTGCTTTTGGATTCATGGCCTCGATTCACGTGACCCGAGTCCCAGCCCAATGATTATGGTGCATCTTGAACGATCTCAAGTGGGCTCTTTAGCTTAGGTAGCTAGAATGCCGCTTCCTTGTCACGATGTCAATAAGATGCGCGAGTAAACAGTGCCCCGATTTACAGCCTTAAATCAACTTTGCTTCATGTTTTCGACGCAAGCTTGTTGTCGAGTTGTTGATTAACTCATGCTCTCGCCAAATAGCTGGACGAGGCTGGTTCATTTCCCCTTGTAACTCTATATATTCTTATATCCAGTTCGTCTCTCTAAATTCATACAAGGTAGTACTGTAGCATCAATATTTCCGCCAGTTCCACCCATATCAGAACGCCAGACCATGTACACCACCATATGCGAGGGGCCAAAATTCCCTCCTTGACCCGGGTATCTTTTATTTACCGCCAACTGCCTAGTTGCCTCTTCCACGCGTGCGCTGAGCCTCTTGCTGCTCGACCAGTTCTGTTACCTGGACCTTGCACTCCATCTCCTGTTGTTACCCTCACTTGTGTGAACCGTGTGCCAGCAAAGTCTCATGATCCCGTTTAGGATCCTTTGGCGTTTCAACCATCTCGCCCTCCTCTTCTGGCACCGAAACCAAGACGTGATCGCTATTGTAGCTCAAGGTCTGCGATACACTTGACCCTCGTGAGCGGGAATGGATAGCACCGATCGCTGTCAATGAATCTCCCAAAGGCGTGTCGATGGGAGGACTTGAATAGCCGCCCGAAGTCTTGCGAACCATGTATTCGTCAAATTGCGTGTCTCTCTCGTGGCTATAGCGCCTCGGTCTTTGTTCCACCGGCTGGATGATGGTCGGGTTCGAGAGGGATCTCCCGAGAGATCCAATGCTGAGACGCTCGGATCCAAGTGATCCCCGCTTGTCCGTCGAGGTTCGCAATCCTGTCCGGCTTGAAAACGAAGAGTACGATGAGTCGCCATCCAATCCATCGTTGAAGCCGTATGGCTTGACGTTGACAGGATGAGAGTAGTCGTCGTACTTGGACAGCCGACGATACGCCATGATGGCATAAATGGCCAGCGAAATGGCAATGACCCTATCCACATGTCAGCTTTACATATCCATGGCTCTACTGCTGCACATGTTGCCTACATTAGCAAGGCGTCCATGCCAAGGCCAACCAGAGAATAATGAGCATCGCTTCGTTGCACATATATGACTACGTCGAGGGCGAGGATGGCAGATGCGCATGCCAATTTGACCACGTGCGAGAATAGCATTGTCCATGGGGTCAACGACTCAGAAAAGTATCTGGCAATCTCGAAGATGGTGCAGAACGCGACGACGGATGATAATGCGACATTGGTGGCTTCCCAGCTTCGAAACATCAATATCATATCGCTTTGGATCCCAAGGCTCTATGGATGGAACTTACACATATTCGATGACGGGAGCTTTACCAGCCTTATCTCGGGCTTGAAAGTGATGGATAGTGTCGCCAAGTCTCCATGAGAAGAGTCCCAGCATTCCAAATGCCAACGCCAGCTGCAAGAACCAGGCTGGGACAAGAAGCAGCGGTCGCCATTTTGCACGCTGGAACTGTGCTTGCGCTCTGTGGCTGGCCATGGTTTGACGTGCAGCTTATAGCTCCTCTATTCGGACGTTTCAACCTATGGTTGGAGATGCAGGAGAGCAGAGGAAGTGTCGAGGCCAGCTGCTGTCTATTCGGACATGTCCTTCAAGTGACGGATGCTTTGCTCGAGTATGGGTAGGGCCGTGGCTGTTTAGGCTCGCAGGTCAGCAGCTTTGGGTCCTCAAGCCTCTTGCGATAGGCGGGCCACCACCGTTTTATTTATCGATCGATTATTTATTTCACCATCTTAAGCCTCATCAAGTCTGCCCTGCGGCCCAGGCCCAGCTTCCACTCATTCGAGCCAGAACAAGGCGCAAATCCCCACCCACAACATCAGAGACCGCTTGTTTGAAGACGCTAGACGTGGCTAGCCGAGCCGCCCACGGCGCCTCATCCGTCCCATCAGACAAGATGGTGACTGAGCCACCGCCGTCTCACGAACCAGGGAAGGACTTTAGGATTTGTCTACGGACTTGGCAGCCTATTATGTGGACACCTAGACGCGCGGGGGGCCGGGGCTTTTTGCGGCTGAGAACAGGAGCTGAGCCTGCTTCTCTCTATTGGAGACACTAGGGGATTATCCTGTGCCACGACGACAAGTCAAAATCACGCAGCCCCAACAAGCTTCAGTGGCTCTCGCCAACGAAGCGAAGGGCTGCATGAGCATGAGCCCGAACCCATTCACACGCAGATGTGCTTTGCCGGGTGGGCTCCCAGCTTGGTACACACAGAGTAATATTCCTCACGGACTTTAGCAGGACATCACGCCATGGTTAACTAGGCGTAAGCGCACACTATTCTGTCTCGTCCGAGTCTCGTCCGTCCTCCTCCTCAACGGAGCTCACTATGGAGCAGAGGAAGCGTGAGATTTCTATTTTTGCCTGATCGAAGTTGCCGGGCGACCCAAGGGCCAGAAGCGATGGTCCGCATTCGGTCTCAACAGTCGAATGAATCTTGACTGGACCAATTGCATGTATGTCAGCAACTAAGATGCAGAGTCTCAAGGGGGCCAAACTTTCCCAGATCGAACCCACCACCTGGCTCCGGCACCCAGGCTGACATGACACCCTTGCGGGCTATTTTGGGCACCCAAAGTGGAGTCGTTCAACTCATGGTTGAGTCTTGATTGGCAACGGGAATCCAGAGAGGCGGTGGGAAAGCTGTCGACTTAGGCGTCTAGTTTCTCACACGGATGAGTCCCTGGATGGGGGTGCATTGCTTTCAAGCAATATAGTCATCCTTGTACACGTAGTATTGAGTGTTTAGTATTTACAAAGCAACACAGGATGTATTTATGATGCCAGCGCCAACTGTCAACAACAATGCCATCTGAGAACTCTTCGGACTTTGTCACAAACAGATATTTGCAAATAATAACAGATGATTGCTTGGAAACGAAACTGCTCAGGGGACTGTCAGATGGCCTTCCCCCCCTCACGATATAGGAGCAAGACACCAGTCTGGCATTTACATCCGGAGATGTTCACATCCGTTGAACTTTTCTACTTTATGAGAATATCATACGTATAGACTTACACATAATACACGGCGTTTATATCGCGAGTACTCCGTACTTGGTTGCCACCGAATTTCCAGCGTCACACCGAAGTTGTGGATGTTCCCGAGATTCAGGTACCTTGTTTACCCCATAGCTCACACGCCAAAAATCCGCTGCGGCCTTCCACTCAAGCTTCCGCTCAGGTGTGCTCAGCCACAGCACATTGCTCTGGAACTGGTTTCTATTGGAGTCGCTCTAAATTAATTTGATGTTTTTTATTCCCGATGGATCGACGATAGTAATCACTAAATACTATTCTTAAACTGAGAAAGGTGGATACTAACAACCGTGTGTTGCGGCTCTGCTTACTTTGGCCGATGGGCATGAAGTCTGTATTAATCAACTTCTACAGGAGTTCTATAACGCGTCTACGACGTCTCGTCACGGGATTTGCGAAATAGCCGCCCAAATAGATGAAGAAAAAATAACGGCACACCCCTGACGAAGTGCGCCGCCGTATTGAAATATTGTTCACACCCTAAAATAACTATTCACTCCCCCCAAGTGTACATTCGTTGGCTCTCCTTGCACATTCCTCCTTCCTTTTCCTAAACAAAGCGATATACGCATATTACCAATGCACCCTAACTGTATCCCAGCCCTTAAATGATTTCGTCCGATGTTGTTGCGTGGTGCCCAAGCCTTTTAGTTGGGAGCGACGTAGACGTCCTCGGCCTTGAAGGGCTTCACGTTGCCAGAGGCGTCTGTCATGGCAGGGACGTTGGCAGGGATGTTGTTGCTCACAACATCACGCTTAGCAATGCCTATGTAGGAGTTAGAATCCGGATTCTATACCGCGTACCTATATAAAGGACATATTTTGTCCAGGTAGGTAGGTAGGAGAGTATCAATGCTGACATACCGTGAGGGGCGGCAATGGCAACGGCGGCCAGGGCAAAAACGGTCATGATAGAGAACTGCATTTTGAACGATGGAAATATGCTTTTTTTTATCGAAAAAAGGTTGCGAAAAGGATCGAGAAGAAGAAAGAAGCGATTGAAAAGTCGACCGGCGACAAGAGTCAAGAAGATGGAACCGAAAAAAAAGAAAGTAACACGAGGGGTGAGTGAAGGATGCTTGAAAGGAATGAAGAAAAGGAAACAATCACGAAAGGATGGGCAGACGGACGTGTATTTGTACAAAGGTCGCGCGGTCTTGCTACGAAACATGTCAAACGCACTACGCCTCCTTGTCATCGGCAAGACGGAAGCATCTCAAACACGGGCGATGTGAGGCCCGAAACAAGCAAGCCTCCAAAGCGCAGTGACACTTGGGACTCCGTCCAATCTAGACTATGGGCATTGGCGCCTTGAACAGCGGCAACGTGGGGAGGAGGAGGTGAAAGTATGTAGAGCAAGGGTATTGAAGCATGAATTTTGCGGTCGAAATTGTTTCGATCAGAGCCTTGACGGAGAAAGGGGGCAGCGGACCTGAAACGCAGGCGTGCTTCAGGATCCCTCGTCCGGGGGCCGGCCAGGGCCAAAATAAGAAACCAGGGCGATTTGAGCGAGCGCGTAGTGAGGATTCCGGTTCCAAAAATGATGGATTGGGAAAGAAGAAGGGAAACAGGATGATGGTTGATGGGGTTGCAGTGGGTGTGAGGCGACGGATTTGTCAAATGAAGCTGGGAGAAGAGGTTTGTTGTAAGTCGCAGCGTGTGCGCGGATGAAGTGCCGATTGACTGCCCGGGTTTACATGGTAATGGTATTCCGTACACGGCGACTAATTTTGAAGTGGGAAATGTCTGTTACAAGTAATTTCATAGACAGTATGAAAGGATGAATGGGAAAGGAACATTTAATGAAAAAAATATACGCAACAGCATGATGCTGGGCTACAAGTTCTTCTAGCAGCAACCACGAGCTTTATTGGAGGAACCTTGCCTTACCCCCGTCTGGATTGTTTGTTGCTGACACTGATGGAGAGACAGATGAACCGCTGCAAGGGCCAAATCAGACATGAGATACCTTGGTAGACTAACAAAAGCACTTGCATAAGAAAAACCATGCGCTTGAGACTGCACTGCCTGTTCCAAGACGACAAACAGGACGAAAATCATCTCCTGGGGGCTTTGAAACGCAAGTCGAAACAGAAACAGAAACCAACGGAGCACCACCTTCACTCCCCGCAGTTGGTTTAGTGCGGCACTTGATGTCCAACACAGTAAATTGCATGCGCCACACCAATCCGCGCGCTGCGCCTCATCCTTCTTCCGTGGCGTGGCTAGTGCTCGGAATATCTCGTCATGCAAGGGCACTGAGGAATCCTTCGACTCCTCTCTTCCGCAACCAACCTTGGATTCGCTTCCAGCACTCTCAGCCAGGCATCGCGGGGTATTTCAGCCAAGTCCAGGTGGGGGTGCTTGCTCGGGAAGAGCGCCAGCACCGCCAGCCGGTTTCCGAAGTCCTTGAATCACGAAACTCGTTCCCCCCGTTTGCATGTGCTTCTACTTCCCCGCCTTGTCTTTGTCTTGCGGGTGGGCTTTTGCTTCTCCCACTGCTTTTGCCTCTGCTTTCGCCTCTGGTTTTGTGGTTCCCGTCTTCTCTAGTCAACCAAGTGGCCCCCCTTCTGATCTTGGCCCGCCTCTGGCTTCTTCTCGTGACATTCTTCTGCCGTGTCTCTTCCGTGTCCGTGTCTCCGCTGCAGCTCAGTATGGCAACCGTCGAGCATTGTGTCGTATGTTTCGAGGCTCTTGACGCGGACCTCAACAACCGCAAGCCCCTCTCCCTTGAACAGATCCAGTCTTCGTGGGCCGCATACAAAGCCAGCTCCGCTTCCGTGACCGGCCCCTCAGACGCTCCCTTGAACCCGGCCCTCCGGCGTCTTGCTGCCGACGGCGCCTCGTCCTCGTCTTCCTCATCGTCTTCAACGTCGCTCTCGGCCGCAGGAGCTGCCACTCCCGCAACGTCCACATCCTCCCTGCCCGACACCCCGCCAACGGCGGCTCCTCTCTTTGTCACCTGGAACACAGTCGACCCAGACGATGACGACGTCTCCCTCCGCGGCTGCATCGGCACCTTTGAGAACCAGCCACTGTCCGAGGGCATTCATGAATACGCCCTGATCTCCGCCCTGCAAGACACACGCTTCCACCCGATTTCCAAGCGCGAGCTTCCCACACTCCAGGCCGCCGTGACGCTGCTCACAGACTTTGAAGAGGCGGACGACACCCACGATTGGGAGATTGGCACTCACGGCATCCGAATCTCCTTTTTGGATCGCGGCCGCCGCTACGGTGCGACATATCTGCCCGACGTAGCACTAGAGCAAGGATGGACCAAAGATGAGACGCTGTTTAGCTTGATCCGCAAAGCAGGCTGGATGGGCAGCCGTTCCAAGTGGCAGGACTTGGACGTCAAAGTGACTCGATACCAGGGCAAGAAGATCAGCCTCAACTATCCAGAGTTCAAGAAGTGGAGGGACTGGGTCGAAAGCAAGCAGTAATGAAGGCCCCATCTGTTGTGATGTAGCTCGGCCGGGCGTTCTAATAGACAAGAGAGGACAAACACTTTTTTTCACTGGGTATTGGTATTACGTGGGACTATTTGGGACGGTAATGGATGATATACAACGAATCTTGCGGCGCTTATAGACGTGTGTCGTGCAAGGAAGAGTGGAGGAGACGAATTTCCCAACTCAGATTTCGTTTTATTTTGCTCTTTGATACATCATATGCTCCTTTGTTAATAAAATAACAATATTTTGACATATCTGATGGCTGAATCGCCTACATTGGGAACCAGTAAAGAATTAAGACTGACGATTATATTCAGAGATGCAAGTTCGCAAGGCAAGAACACCTTGATATTTGCTTCGAGTAATGAAGCCCGTAAGGAAGCAGTTATGCTGCATACACATGAAACTTTCTTTTATACATGACGCTTTCAATAGTAAAAAAAAAAAAAGAAAAAGAGAGAAAAAAAACAGACCATCTCCACTCGCGATGCTTTTTTCATTCCATATCATATTTCTCCCTGACGCCCGCCATACATATCCATGGTATCTGTGAACAAACGACAAAGAAAAACAAAGGAGAAATATGCCCAGTTTGTGTAAGGTAAGCAAATAGCAGGAAAATTCAGACACTTTGAAAAGGAAAAGAAAAAGGAAAACTATTAAAACGAAAAAAAAACAAAAACGAAAGGCGTTGGCTCTTTTTTTTTTCTTTTCTCTTACTCCCCCTGTTTTCCCACTTTCTCGTCTCGGTTTATACCTGACACTCATCATCGTCATCATTAGCCCCTTACCAACAACGCAGCTTCTTCCAGAAACCACCTTGTCCGCGACCGACTTTGTCTCCGCTGAGAATAGGGCCACGAACGCCCGGCCCGCGCTTCTCGTCCTCGTCGGCGGGCAGGGGAGTCAGGGGCTTCGTCATGCCCCGGGCGCTCATCTCGGTGTTGTCCAGGACGCCCTCCTCGGCGAGGCGACGGCGCTCGACGACGCGCTTGACGATGAGGGCAAACGTCTCCTCGATGTTGACCTCGAGGCGAGCGCTGGTCTCCATGAAGCCGGAGCCGTGCTTGCGCGCCCACTCGAGGCCCGTGGCGGCCGGGACGGTCCTGCTGTCCTGCAGGTCGCACTTGTTGCCGGCGACAATCTTGACCGGCGGGACGGTGCGGGAGCCGGCGCCGGAGCCAGTGTAGGCCGGGTTGATGCCGGCGGCGCGGGCTCGCTCGGCGTTGTCGAGGCGGACCTCGGCCTCCATGTCGATGAGCTCGTCAAAGTGCTGCAGGGCATCGAGCGAGTCGCGCGATGTGATGTCGTAGACCATGAGGAAGGCGTCGGCGCCGAGGTTGGAAGACGCCCACATGCCGCGGTACTCTTCCTGGCCGGCGGTGTCCGTCAGGCAGAGGTGGTAGGTGACGCCGTCGATGACGCGGGTGACGCTGTAGTTGTCCTCGATGGTAGGGTCGTAGTCGGAGGTCCAGGCGGAGCGTACAAGCCGCAGGGTGATGGAGGACTTGCCGCAGCCTCCATCGCCGCAGATGGTGATGGAGATGGGCACGGGGGTTTGTGTCTGTGCTGCCATGGCGAAGGGGGATGGATATTGTTGCGGCGCTTTGCTTTGCGCCGAAGAAGGGGAGAAGTTTGCTTTTGCCGAGTTTTGATATAGGCAAGGTAGATGGAACCACCCAATGAGAACTGAAGCAACGATTCTCAGTCTTTTGAAGTCTCGCGATGCGATCTGATCTATGCAAAGCGCAAAGAGAAAAACAGACGATGGGCAAGATTGCTCTCAGAGAACAGGGTGATTCGTTGACGTGGGCAAGACGAAAATGCGATATTGGCTCGAGATAGCAAAACCCGGAATATGCAAAAAGCAAGCGTCACAATTGTCCGCTTACTCAACTCAAGAAAACTCGCTCGCTGCAGTAAGAAGAAAAAATTGAGAAAGCAAGTAACGAAAAAGAAAAGAGAAGCAAGAAAAATTAGTTGAGAAAAAAAAAAGATAGTTTACGCCAACACGAGAAGATTGGGTGTACTCGTACGCGAGACCGCGTTCTGGATCGAGCAACAAATTGGGAACGAACCAACCACCCAAAGCTGCGCAGCTATCGCGGGCTACTAGCAGCAGACAACAACCCACATTCGCCGGCAGATGATTGAGAGGGGGGACCTTGCAACCGCTACGTACCTAGTTTAGTGGTAAGCAGGGCAATTTTGTCAAAAAAAAAAAAAAAAAAAAAGGCGGAAACAGGAAAACCATGGAGGGCAGGGATTTCGCGCGAGAGAGAGAGAGAGAGGAAGAGGAGCGCTATGGGCGTTGCCGGGTGTTGGCGGGCCTGTGGAGGCGAAATTTTGCACGGCCGAGAGAGGACAAGGCAAGGTGCGCCCAGGGGCCCGGGGGAAGCGACGCCAGGGATCAGGGGATGCTCGTGGCAGCTGTTTGGATATTGGACGAATTTGCCAGGGCACAATGCGAGCTGAAGATTTACTGGATTGGCACGGGTATACAGTAGGTACAGTAGAGCATGCATGCATGCATCATGCAGAGCGGACATTAGGGGGGAGATTGATGATGATGATATGGAGTGGTGAGGTCTCAAGGTTTGGGTTGCTCACAAGGACAACAACGTTACTGCGAGTTACTACATCAGTACTTGGGACATACTGTACAGGTAACAGAGCAAGACCACAGCAGAGAGAGGGGAAGAAAAGCAAAGAGAGAGAGAGAAAAAAAAGGATCAAATCAAATGCGGCCTGAGCGCCCGCGGCCAGCGGAGAGGGATGGCAGACAGACCAGGGGGCTTCTTGTGGTGATGGCATGCTCCCACTGCGGCTTTCTGGCGTTCTGCATCCCCCGGGCAATTTCGCTCGTCGCCGACAGGACAGGGTTCCGGAGCTGCTGCTCGTAGGCGAGAGACACTCGGGGCACGTCCCCGCCATTGTCCAGTGAACCTTAACGGGGCCTGCAGGGGAGGGGGGAATGGCTTGAATGAAATGCTCCGTGTGTGGTGGATGTGGATGTGGATGTGGATGTGGATGTGGATGTGGGATATGGATATGGGCATATGATTGCTGGCCGGGCGTTTGGCGTGGAGTGGTGGTGAGTTGAGTTGCGATGGGGGGGAGAAAGTTCAGGGCGTCATTTCCAACCATGTACTGCAGGCTGGGGAGAAGAGAGAAGAGAGGGGGAGAGACGGATTTGGTTGATCCTTTGCGATAATAACTCAGGTAGGTAGCATCAAATTGTTGTTGTCGTGTCATTGTCGCCTTGGTTTCATCCTTCACATCAGTCTATTCCAGTCGGCGACATCTTGGTGGCTGTGCGTCGGCGGTTGTGGTTTGTGATACCGAACCTCCCTGCTTGCATACGCATGCAAACGCACCACGACCTCCGACTCCAATTTCTGGCCAAACGGAGCTCAGGCACGGGCTCCAGCACTAGCACTCACTTGAACGTGCCCGCCCGTGTGGAGCTTTCAGGGGGCCTGCAAGTCATGAGCCTTATGCATCATCGAGCAAGATGCCGCAAGTCAAAGCACAATCCATCTCAAGATGATGCAACGCTGGTTTTTTTGCCACCACTAACCCTATTCCACGCCTAAGGTAGGTTGCATTCGTGAGGAAGAGGAGGGGGGGAGATGGATGACATGGATGTTATATCTAGATGGTAATTGAGAGGACGGGACTCTGGCCAACAAACGTGATGGATACAGCCAACTTGACGGATCGCAGAGGCTTAATCAAGTCCGAGCCTCCTTGAGAAATAACTGTTTAAAGAACATACCTAGCTGACATTCATGCTTCCATGGAGATATCATAACATTCCTGATCAAGTTTTGGCAATAAATCCAAGAGGAAAAAGCCCGGTCTGGATATCATCACAACTCCAAAATTCCCTACCCTACATTACCTAGGTAGGCAAGAGGCTAAAAAGCACTTTTAATTACTCTAGCCAGAGATTGCAACCACAAAAACAAATACTATTCGTGTTGCTTCAAAGTCATTTCGATGTAGCCCTTTCCCCAGAGAAACATGTAGGCGTTGGGGAGTCTTGAAACTACTCTCTGTGCATGAGAGCAATAGCTTCCTCACTCTGGCTGATACCATCTTTCCATGCGGGATATCGAGATTCGTACCATGTTACAATACCGCCTTGCCCAAATGTTGAGATGCACTTTGCAAGCTCCATTCCATCTATAATAGCATTGTTTGCTCCCTCGCCGCCTAGAATAGACTCTGCATGCACCGAATCACCCATAAAGAAGACGCCCTTGTTTGCAAGCGCACCAAGTTCCTGGGGGCTGACCAAGACTGTCCGCATGAGCCAATGCAAAACCCGTTCCGTTTTCAGCTTCTCCGAGTCAAACACATCCTTGAAAGGCTGATCCAATCCATGGAGTCTTTCTATCTCGTCGAAGAATTCTTTTGGTATATCCGTTGCATCGGATACTGGCCTATTGGGCCGGTGAAGCGGATCGATGGAACCTCTGGCTGGGCGTGAGAATATCCAACTAATGCTCACGGCACCTGCTTGCTGCTCGTTGACAGATAAATTCAGGACCACGTCGCCTTGTTTCTTTTCTATAACGTTGGAGTCTTTAAAAGCTGGAGCATAAAGGCTGTCGTAGAGCTCACGTTCCACCCGTCGCTTGCCATTGAAGGCAACATAAGGAAGAATATTGAACGACGTGTTAGGGGAGAGTGACTTTCGGGTATTGGAGTGAGGCCCATCAGCTCCGACGATACATGTGCTCTCCAGTTTCTGTCCATTTTGCATGTGGAGAATCATCCCCGAAGGTGCCTCTTCCACTCTCTCGAGAGAGTTTCCCCACTGGATATCAAGCCCTTTGCGGAGTAAGTATTCAAACTTCCCACGATGAGCACGAAATGATGTCGAGTTCACTCTCCTAGGAGTAACAAAGGATTCTGGTTCGATGTTGCCGCTTCCGCCCAACAATCCATCTACCGCTATGCAACGCCTGAAGGAACATTCTTCCATGCCTAGGATGTCCAGAAGAGGCAGATATGACGGAGCATGCAGCGTGATTCCGTAATCGTGAAGGAGATTCGAGGGCATTTTCTCGTAGAGAACCGCAGGGATTCCATATTTGAGCAGACAACGGCCGAGGATCAATCCTCCGATTCCCGCCCCTATGATGCGGACTGGTGTCTGTGGCATTGTCATGACGGCGTCACTGTGAAGTATTCAGATTGCTCTTATGGCTGAGATGGAGAGCGGGGGACGCAGCGTGAAGTTACTTAGATTTGGCTATCGGACATATGGACCGTGCTTGCCCGTGTGCACTGTTGCTTCGATTCACAGGGAGAGGCAAGGCGCTTGGGATCGGCTAATACAGGTATGCATCTAAATCTTCTCACTGTTGGTGCCAATATAAGTTGTACTAGTAGATAAAGAGAAACTAACGGGGGAAAAGACATCAATACGCTCATCAGACTTTGATACATGCTCTCTCTGTAAGAGAGTCGATGCAAAAGACGACTGGATCTAAATCGGGGTTGCTTGTAAACAGTCAATTAGCTACGGGGCATTAAACGTGGGGATACGCGGATAGACATGCCCCACGACCCACGGCATGTAATGTCGTGTATCAGCATCTACTGGGATGATGGCGATTGTTAATTAAAAGAGCGGCGTCGGCAGTTTCGATTTGGCTTGGCTGTTTATTTCGCCTCGTAGAATTGGTATAGTGCTTTCATACTGGCATCAGGCTTGTCGACTCCAGTAGATGCCTCGGTATCGGGTCATTGGAGTAGAATCCGCCAGCATCCATCAATTACTGTAATTATACATCACCAGATAAAATGATGCTTTTGGTAGGTACATGTCATGGCGAACAGCCTTGCAGCCATTCATCGTCATCCATGCAATTGCGTCATGGCTGGTCGCAGTGCAAGTTCATTTGCGAATCGTCATGCAGTAGAACTATCACCAATTAATTTCTTTGTCTTGACTATACATGTACCTGGCGTGATGCAGCCTGATATTCAATACACGTGAGCTTTGATGCTTACGACTTAGATGCCTTTCTCTTCTGAGAACTGAGCTGCGATGTTACTGGTTGCCTTATTTCTCCTGTTGTCTCACTGATACTGCGAGAGGCTAGAGCTGAGATGTTGGCATCCCTCCAGACAGGCAACCTCGTCACTACTGGGCACTTTATGCCGCTTATTGCCCAGTACATGATTCAGTTCCACGTCTTACTCGCATTTATATCCATGATGGCCAAGCACTGAAGCCTCGCCCCAAGACACTTTTACTGTACGGTGTTCAGGCAGGGCTGTCATCATTGCAAGTCATCAATTTTCACCAGCACTCAAAGCGATCTACTGGCACGGCAATTGGAATTCGGAACGTCGCTCTAATAGTGTCGGTTAGCTGGTTGTTAGCGGCTTCTTCAACCGCCAATTACCAAGGCAAGGGTATCGACACATCCGCGCAGCCCCAAAGTGAGCAAAAATCCCCGACAGGCCGAAGGGAAAAACGACAGACGGCCGCTCAATGGCGCAATTGGCAGAGCGATTCTGCCGAGAGGCTAAAACTCTTCGGACGCCCAATTTTTGACTTGTTCTTGAAGGCGTGCTTTGATTGTCGATGCGGTAAAGACTCGGATGACTATTTTCCTCTCAATTTTCACCCTAGTGCTGATATGAGGATCTGTCCGCGTGGGATATCCATCTGTGACCCTTCTCTTCGTAGAGACTGACTCTTGGCCGAGATTCGGAGCCTTGTATTCTTCGTAAGCCCTGTGAACTGTGACGAGACAGGGTTTCCGTCTTTGCCTGACTAGATTCTGTCGTCTTCGTTGTCTCTGTTCGAGCGAGGCTGAGCGATTTAATACAAGTAAATAAAGACGGTGGCTGTTTTTTTTTTTTTTTTTTTTCCATCTTAGTGTCTGCGGTCTTGGACTTTTTTTTCTCAACATCAATTTTCCTCTGACTCCGTAAAACCACCCACCATGACCGCCACTAGCAACGGCTTCACCAGCAACGGCGGACCTCAACTCCAGCTTAACAGGGCTGTGGAGACGGCCGATGTATGTCCATGTTCTGGGTCATTTGAACCTTTCGTTTACCCGCACACTAAGTCTTTCTTATAGCTCCTAGAGTCTGTTCAGCAGCTCATCATTCCCTTCATCAAGGCCGCCGATGATGCCGCGGCTCACAAGGCTACGGGGAATTTGGGGTTGAATGCGAATGGGGAGCCTCACAATGTCTTGATTGACTCAAAAAAGCCTTCAGACCTCGTTGCTAGGTTGAAGTTTCTTCTCCCAGAGGAGGGACTAGGCAAAGATGGCCTCTTGCAGGGTATCGAGAGACTACTCAAATACAGCGTTAATACATGGGATCAAGGTTTCATGGACAAGCTGTACTCAAGTAACACGCCAGTATGTGCTTGCCTCATCAGAATGACTCATGAATTCGAAGTTGACGGACAACTGTGCTAGGTGGGAGTTGTAGCTGATCTCTTACTGTCCGTTTTGAACACCAATGTAAGAGACCCCTTTCAAGCCGTGGTTTACATGTCCTAACATTTCGCAAGCTACATGTTTACCACGTCTCCCCGGCGTTGACCATTATCGAAAAGACGACTACCAAAGCATTTGCCAACCTGTTCGGATTTGACGGACAATATGCTGGCGGTGTATCATGTCCCGGAGGCAGTGGATCCAACCTCACATCTCTCATCGTAGCTCGCAATACGCTATACCCCGAAAGCAAGACGGAAGGAAACGGCAAGCATGATTTCGTCGTCCTCACAAGTGCACACGGCCACTATTCCGTGGAAAAGGCCGCAATGGCAACCGGCATGGGCTCATCTGCCGTGTGGGCGGTTCCTGTGGACGACGAAGGCAGGATGAAGCCAGAAGCCCTCCAGGAATTGGTTTTGCTTGCCAAACAGCAGGGGAAGACGCCGTTCTATGTTAACGCGACAGCCGGCACTACGGTCAAGGGCTCCTATGACGCGTTTGAAGACATCTCCAAGATTTGCAAAGAGTTTGGCCTGTGGATGCACATCGACGCGAGCTGGGGTGGTAGCGTCATCTTCTCAAAGGCGCAGAGCTGGAAGATGAAGGGCTCGCATCTGGCCGACTCGCTGACTGTCAACCCGCACAAGATGCTCAATGCACCAGTCACCTGTTCCTTGCTCCTGGGCCCGGATATGCGCGTCTTTCAACAGGCAAACAGCACCTCGGCAGGATATCTCTTCCACGGAAGCGACGATGGCGAAATCTGGGACTTGGCTGACTTGACGCTGCAATGCGGCCGGCGAGGAGACACGCTCAAGGTTGCCTTGGCCTGGCTATATCATGGCGCCAACGGATTCGAGCGGCAAATCGACCACGCATTCAGCATGGCTAGCTATCTATTCACGCTTCTGCAAGAAACCGGCAACTTTGTCATGGTTTCGTCGTTTCCTCCACCCTGTCTCCAGGTCTGCTTCTATTCAGCTCCTGGGGGTCAGTTGCCTTCTGATAACAAGGTGAACACCTCCAGAACGCAGCAGATTGCCCATGCACTTGTTGGCAGAGGATTCATGGTTGATTACGCTCCGGGCGATCACGGTAGCTTCTTGCGTGTCGTGGTCAATGTGCAGACCCTGGAGGGGACCGTTGAAGGCCTTGTCAAGGCCATGAATGAGTTGGGTGAGGAGTTTTCCCCGTGAAGCAAGGCTCATATCATCCACATAACATAGGTAGATGGCATCTATCAGACAGATGCTTTGGTTTGGTGGCCCGATCTGCTTGACATGTACTCTGTAAACTTACACCGATGATGTATTGTGAGAAACATTAGATATTTCAACATAAATTTATTTGGTCATGATAACTCTACTTGAAGAATGGCATTCCTCTTTATTTCAAAGTCGTACCGTTTTTGATAAAGAGATGAAGAATATATAACATACTAAATCGTTTTTTTATAAAGCTATTTTCACAACACTTATTACTGCTCCTCTGTTAACAAATCCTCGCGATTCATGCTTCTCGTTTTCTCCACTTTGACATCTCTCAAACCCCTGCCAATTGCGCTAGCCACGATAAGATCTTATCAGCGATAATCTTCGTCCAAGAAAAAAAAAAAGTTCCAAAGCTCATCGCAGCTCTCTCAACCAAACATATTGTCCACTGTATTGTCTTCGACACAATGCCGAAACCACGAACAAAACGAGGAGGCGACCGCGACGAGCGCAAGAGGAAGCGATACGACGACACCGAAGCGAATTTCGACGCCGACACCAAGCGCCGGCGTCGAGATGACGAGGCCAACGGCAACGAATACGGATATGGCGACGAAGAATTCTCACAACACCAAGGCCATGCTGGCGAGAGGGAATTCTTCGGCATGCTGGCTGATGACGAGCAAGAATACTTTCGACGAGCGGATGAGATGCTGGAACTGAACCAATTCCCGACCCCCGAGGAGCGAGACATCTTTTTGCAGAGCGTCTACCGTGAAGCAAAAGGCAAGGAGCTCAAGGTCGCCAGCAGCCAGTCTTGCTCTCGGCTGATGGAGCGACTGATACAACTCGCCTCCACAGCCCAGAAAAAGCAATTGTTCGAGGCATTTGGTGGCCACTTTTTGTCGCTGGTGCAGCACCGCTTTGCTAGTCATTGCTGCGAGGCGCTGTTCCTCCGATCTGCTGGTGTTGTCACTCAAGAGCTTGCTGGTTTTACCGGTTTTGTCATGGATACCAAGGGTGCAGATGTCGATGCGCAGCAGCCTGAAGCTTCCATGGAGCATCTATTCTTGGCGACATTGGATGAGCTTGAGGGCAGCTTGGGTTATCTCATCACTGACCGATTCGCTTCACATACTCTGCGAGTCTTGCTACTAGTATTATCCGGAATGCCTCTTGAAGAGCAGTCGTCGCGTACGCTATTAAAGAGCAAGAGGAAGGAGAAGATCACAGTTGTCGGATCTACAGCGGCAGATGCGCAAAACCACGGCAAGCGAGCAGTGCCGGCATCTTTCACCATGGCGGCCAACAAGATCATGCGAGACTCGGTAGCAGGAATGGATGCCACTGGAATACAAGTCCTGGCCAAACACCCCATTGGCAACCCGATCCTTCAGCTCATCCTGGAACTTGACTTAACACTCAACAAGGGTGAACCCAAGGGCGAGGATGCAAACGCTGGTGATACTTCCCCTTCTCTTCTCCAGCTACTTCTCCCCGACGCTCCCCGATCACTGTCTGATGGCTCTTCTGCGGCTTCCGAATTCGTCAACGGCATGATCTACGACCAGATCGGCTCGCGACTTATCGAAACGCTTGTCGCACATGCGCCGGGCAAGATTTTCAAGGCTCTCAACCAGAATATATTCCTACCCAGGATACAAGGCTATGTCCGCAACGACATCTCATGCTATCCTGCTATCAAGGTGCTTCAACGACTGGGCAAGGACGACCTCGCAAAGGCTGTCGATCAAATCGCGCCTACTATTCCCCAGCTGGTCTCCAAAGCAAGATATAACGTTTTGTCGACCCTCTTTGAACGATGCGCGGCTAGGAACATCAATGACGAAATTAAAAAGTTGATGAAGGGCTTAAAGGAGGGATGCGGCAGCCAACCCGCTGATTTAGTCATGACGTTGTGTTCGTTTTCAGCCAGCGAAGAGGAAGAGAAGAAAAAGAAGAAGGATGTTACGCAAGTAACCAAGAACGAATATGCTGTCCAATCCCACGGCGCCAATCTACTTACCACTTTGCTCTCAATATCCGGCCCATCAAAGGGTGTCCAAGAATCCATCCTTGCTTTGCCGTCCGACATTGTCCTCCGCCTCGCCAACACGTCTCTACCAACCGTTTCCGTCCTCACCACCGCCATCAACACTCCGTCTTCCAACTCCATTTTCCAAAAGAGTCTCATTAACACACTGATGCCACACATGCCCGACCTGGCAACATCCCAGTATGGCCACAACCTTATCAACGCCATCGCCGAAATCCCCAGCAAGGGTAAGGATTGGAGCATCCCTCAGCACATGAAGGATCGGATCATGGCCGCCCTCGGAGCGCACGAATCCCAGCTGAGAGAGTCATGGATGGGAAGGAGCGTCTGGAGGACGTGGAAGGGAGATATGTGGAAGACACGACGGTTTGACTGGAAGAGCTGGATGAAGGAGTTGGATGAGACCAAGGCTCCGGCTGCGGCTGCGCCTAAGAACAAGGGGGAGGCCAAGGCGAATGGCGAGATGAAGGCTGTCAAGGACGACGAGGATGTTGAGCAGAAGCTTGAAAAGGCAGAAGAAAATGACGAGGTAGCCGTCGAAGATGGTGACGAAAAAGAAGAGAAGAAGGAGAGAAAAGAAAGAAAGGAAAAGAAAGAAAAGAAGGAGAAGAAGGAGAAAAAGGAGAAGAAAGAGAAGAAAGTCAAAGAAGATGGCGAGGAGCAGGAAAAGAAGAAGAAGAAGAAAAAGAAGTCAAAGGACGAGGACGTCGAGATGGCTGATGCTGAAGAGTGAATTAACACCTCGTCTTTGTAGACTGAAGGTGTCAGAATCTTTTTGCTTTAGTAGGTAGAGATACCTCTCTCAACATGAGCTTAGTTTAATATCTCGCGTAGATAAACTTTCATTGTGGTTTTGGGTGGTAATGAATAGTACCACTTATCGGGGGAGCTTATTTGTAGCCGAGTAAATATTGAGTATTTAGATTTTAAAAAATGGATATCAAACGGCCAACATATTCGAATACTTCTCAAAGATGTTGCCTAAACTCCTTCTCGCTTAACTTCCGGTAAATATTCATCCCATGGTGGACGACTTGCTGCTGGCAGGGAGGTGGACTTTTCTCGTCTCTAATTTCAGTCCCTCCTTCACTTCGCTCCGTTGATGTTTCCTTGGAACAAATTGACAGATACCCGTTCCGTCCCGTTGTAATAGAATGAGCATTGTCACTTTCTTCTCAGTTTCGTTTCGGTTGGCCGGCTAACGACCTTTGCAAACTGATCAATAAGTGATTCTTCCCATCTGCAACAAGGAACCGCGCATATCCTCCTGACGCAACTTTCGGGAGCTTGGCACCATGTCATTAACTCCGTAGCATTTTACTTCCTCAAACGCATTTGGTTCACCATTTCTTCCATCGTTCCGTAACAGTACCATTCTATCCATAACATACGTATAGTGAGGCGCGTCCCATACCAATCTCATCCTCGAGATCGAAGCTTGCTCTGGTTTTTGTTTCTTCTTGCCCGTGACTGACTGATCTCTCTAGGCATCTGTTTCAGTATCCTTAACGAACAACAAGAAGGATGCCTCGAAAGGGATATGATGTAACGGGGTGCGCCCCAGGTACTCCCGCTGCCGAAGCCGCGGCTCGGGCCAAGCAGAGGGCTGCCCCTGGAAACCGCACTCCTCGTGCTGGAACTCCTATCAATCCATCTCACCATGATGGAGATGACCAAGCGACCCCTCGAGCTTCTCGTATCGGTGTCTTCGCTGGAGATGTGGCGGCTGGTGGCCCTCCCGCCTACTCCCAGGCGAATGTAATGCAGGCTGAGCGAGGATTTCAGACTCAGCAATTCCTGCCAAGACAGGAGCTGTTCCAGAACCCTTTGAACGTCAGTTCATTTCAGGCAGCTAATGATTTCATGTCGAGGCCCATCAGTGGACCGCATGGTCATCCTGTTCCTTTCCAAGCGCAGTCATCGATATTCCCCGGAGTTGCCTCGACAGCTTCTACAGGCCAGAGCGTTGGATTTGTAAACGCCCCAGCACAGTTCAGTACGGCCGCGTTTGGGACTGCACAGTTCGGAGCCCAGCCGCAGCCGCAACAGTGGAATCACAACCAGTTCTATGCTTTGCCCGCCAGCCAGCATGGAATCCAGAGTTTTCCCATGTCCCATCCCGGTCCAGAGTCGTTTGCCCACTACCCAACGGCTGGAGGAGTTGCGCAGTATCCGGCACCAAACACCAACGCTGGGAATTTAGCACCTCAGAGTCACGATGGGGACACCGAGATGACGGACACCAATCGCTGAGAGAAACCGAGAGGGAGTATTATAATGATCGATGATACAAGTTTGCTGCAAAAGAATACGTATGCTATCGTTTTCGTACGGCTGGAGGGATGAGATGCTGACGTTTTGTTAGTCATGAGTCAGGCCTGTTATTTCAAGGTATCATACCGAGTTCAAATGTTCCAGAAGAGAGAGAGCAAGATAGAGGCCGTTTGTCAAACAATGGTAGCTTGCAGGACATTGTCAGTGATGCCGTCCCTGACCGGCCGTTTGCTTTGTTAGAGTCTAACCTGGAATAGATATGCTGGAGAGGCCACAGAGACCACTCCGAGGGTTATGAAGAAGTTTCACGAATGTGCTTTTAGAAACCATTAGAGATAGTCCAAGAGGATACGAGATATGCGCAGGAGAGAGTCACTAATTGTAAAAACGAAATTTGAGTTCATCGATGTCCTGCTTGGTGAATATGCTCGTCTATACCTGAGGCATCACTTTTCCCCTTAGATGTCGTCATATCAACACCAGGATGAAGCAAGAAGCACTGAAATCTATGGTAGAGTAGAGAGAAACGGAAAGTGCTTTCAACTATATCTGATAGCATCTTAGTACTAAGGTACTAAGGGTGTCTACCTTAGTGGGAGGTATAGGTAGTAGGCAGCGGTACTTGGCTTATGGACTCCAACTTTGGAAGCATCAATACAGGTAAGGTAACCATTATTGAGAATTCTAGCAAGGGGTATCATACGTAGTGCGTTTATCTATTGACCAAATCCATGTCCAAATACCAACAGATTTAACTCCTGCAATGCCATTTGCATACCGCTGTTGTCAAACAAGACCTATCAAGCACTCCCTGAAAAGAATATCGGCTTTGAGCAAGGCCTGTCACTCAGTGACTCGAAGTGAAGCCGTCATCAACCCAAATCACTATAACGCAACAAAAGAGTCCCCCGTGGCAGCCGGCTGTAGATTTCATGGGAGATTTGCCTAATTGCTGGTGGTCATTCCAGAGCGTGGCCTTGTTGCTGGCACAAGCTGATCGAGGTAAATGCCCCCTTTATCATCCCTTAGCGCTCTTGACTTCGATTCCACCAACTCTTCTTACTTATGCCTGGATGTTTCCTCCTGATATCTTTCAACGTCCTGAAAATCTGGGAGTGACGCTGGTCTGTCGTCGTTTCGGTCACGGTTGGTTCACTCGGCCTAAGGAGTCTAACATCAGTCCTGATTGATTTCCAAGGCATTTATAGGACACTCACGTGGACTTTTCCTTTCCATCATTTGCATCGCCATTTGCACCATCATTTGCATCACCATCGGTGTTATCATCGGCCTGTGGGCTATTTTTGTCACGCCTCATCAAGTGGGCTAAGTGGGCTGGTAATTGAACGCTTCTCCATGAAGGCGCTGCGTCGATGTCCATCTCCTCTCCACATGGGGTCGTCAGTATAATCCTCGGGATCACTTGAATTCTCGACTCCTGTGGTTTCATTCTCGTTGGCATCCGCAGCGTTAAGGGGCGAGGTATGTCGAGTGCCTGTGGCGAGGTTGAACCCGGGGACGAATCCTCCGAGTCAGACATGTCATTATCGGAATCTAATAGCTGTAATAGCTTGGCCGAGAGCTCGGCGGGATCTGGCAACCTGGCAACCGACTTGGATGGCATTCTGAAGTCGACGTGGTGGGATGTCAGTGTAAAAACGATCATAAACGGTCTCCCACGAAGAAGCCTTTGGTCCTCAGGAAATTGTAGTGGACTGGGAAATATGCTCTAGATTGTGCGAAGTCCCATAGAGCAGTTCAACACTGTGTAGGTTCTCTATGGCCTTTTGATGCCATGCCTGTAGCTCAAACTTACCGATGAAAACCTAGAGCAAGCCCCTTTCGAGGCCCACCGCAATCGATTGCACAAACTTCGAAGATCCATTCTCAAGAAAACCATATTTTTTTTTTCTTTTTTTTTCTTCTAATTACTTGATCTAGTCCTTCCAAACCCCGTTGGCCGTTTACCCCCGTTTTGCAACGCGGGAATATTAGGTAGATGAAACGGCTTCTTCTGGGGAATGTCAATCTCCATATTCACTGCCCGCCACATCTCCCACACGGTCGCTCTCCTCGCTGGCAACATGCTGTACTGTAAACTATACAGATTTTTCCTGTTTATCGGAGGGACAAACTGCCCAGTCACCAAACAAAGCAACACTCGTGGTGATAGGTAGTGTTTGCGTATGCGGTGAGCCATTTGGAAGTATTGGTGGAACATGTCGTGGAAGGGAAGAGGAATATTCTGTACAAATCAGTCAGGGATACATTGTCCTACTAGTCTTGAGGTATAATAGTTCGTACCTTGAGATAGATAATGGAAGTAGGGGGCTCATTAAAAAGTTTATCATTAGTGTCGGGGATTTTGGAGTCATGGGTATCTCGAAGTTCAAAATGAATGCCACCTAGTCCGAGTCAATCTCTGTGGCTGTATTTCATGTCATTCTGTATCAGCTTGTACTCACCAGGTAATCTACTGGGGTCCTTCAACCTCAACATTAAGGCAAAAAGTGGGAAATGATTCAAACATGATAGCATCGTATCAAAGCCTGCCTTGAGTGATATAATGGTCATCCTAGCAATGGCAAAATTGAGATAGAAAACCATCACGGTGGGCAGAAGAAAGAACAAAAGGGTAAATAGAATTGTTCCAACAAGCAGCTGGTCGAGGTCGTAATCGCACGAATCGATACGATTGCGGAGGACGTTGTGTTTTTTCCCTCGAAACAGATGGAAGAGAGACCGCAAAATGGTGAGCTGCCAGTGGTATATCCTTGCAGACGCGAGATAGAACGAGTAGATGTGCATGGTGAGGACCGACAATAAGTCCGAAAACATGGCGATGGGCATGCTTGCCCCTGCAAAAGACGAAAACCCAATGAACCAAATGATGTGTGGCAGCATGGGGCTCAGAGTCTCAATGCAACCTACGATGCGAGGCTATGTCAGCTTCCAGAACTTGTGCGGAGGGCAACGAATTGCAACTTACTTGACCAATAGTCAATGACCCAGAGAAACAAATCTCCAAGAAAGGCAGCCAGTTCACCGTTTAGCTTGAGGCCTGCGGGCCATCCCATAAGCCATGATATGCCGCGTTGGAGTGCCTCTACCGTGTATGTGCGCAAGAGATCTCGAATTTGATCCGCAACCCAGTCCTTGTGCTCAATGATGTACGAGCCTACAGCCATGCCGATAATCACGTCGTTGGCAACAAGCCAAAGGCTGTTGTAGAAACGGATGTAGTCCGGATGGCTAGTAGTGACGCTTGCCCAGTTGGCTTTCCGCTGGCGGAGAGTAACGTATTGCATTGGCCAATAGCAGAATTGCTGGAGACGAATCTCAATCTGCTGGGCGGTTGCCGAGATATCCTTGAGGGCGGCATACCCTGGCTTGGCTCGAAACTCCAAGATTATGAGGAGAATTTCCGCCACCATCCTATGGAAGAGCAGCACCAGAATGAAGGCCTTTTGCACAATTGGGAAGAGGTATACTGAAAACAGCGTCCACAACTGCACGAGCACATAGTTCCGCATTGTCGTAGCCGACTCCACCACCCTCTCGGAAACACTAAGTCCTCGCTTTGGTCTTGGGCCAAGCCGTCCGACGTTCTGCTGCAACGCCTGCTCCAGCTCCCAGGACCAATTGACCTGACTGACAATTTTAGGCAGCGCTTTGTCTCTGGCGGAGGCAACTCGCCTAACGATGCTGTGCTGCTTCAGCTTCTCGGCCAGTTTACGTCGATTTTCCTTGATTGCCTTTTCTTGCTTGGTCTCTTCGCTGTCGTCTTCACTGCTCGTAGCATCCTCGGGGAGCGATCCCTTGTCCCCTAAAGCCAACGCTATCGGATTGAGGGATATGTACTGCATGCCTTTTGGGTGAGGCCGGTCGTAGAGGATGAGCTGGATACTGGAGGCCTTGGCGCAGGAAATCCGGGGGTATCGGCTGTTAGTGCTTGTCTTGGCGCATACCCACGAAGGATCAACCGCGCTTTGACTTGTCGCATTGGAAATGCCTAGAACATGCATCGACGAGTGCCCACAGAGGTCATAGATCCGACTCGGGGAGTGGGGGCCACTCCGGAAGAAAGTACCGGACCTGAGATGGAACTCGACATTATGCGCCTTGGACCGTTAGCGATGAGCTCACTTCAGGAGGAGAGGGGGAGGCAACTGAACAGCTTACATCAACATCTTCAAGAATGGTGACGACGAAAACATCGAGTGTTGAGTTCCTCCATCCGACGACAACACCGGTGCGATCAGATTTGCGAATGTCTGTCGGCCAAAACACTCTCATCAACCCATCATGCTCTACCATGACAAAGGATGGTTATCGACAAGACGAGGGACAGCACTCAGAAAGAGCCCCGTCGCCTGAGCTGCTCTCGCGCAGATATTCCAGCTCCTTGTTCTCGTGGGTGCTGTAGTTGCTCTGCGTTAGCCTTGAGACCAGCCCGGGCGATGGCGTTTCGCAATTCAATCTCGGAGATTTTCTATAGCAACATACAAGTCTTGTTTCCCTCCTTGCGACTAGGGCTACTGGCACAAAGATGGCGAGGAAGAAGGCGCTCAAGACCACAATGCCGCGGGCTACACGCAACTAGAAGCAGAGACAATAAGAGATGGACGTCAGACATGCCCAGACAGGCTTCAGGGGTCGCGGGCGCAAAAGGTGCAGGCATTGCGACTTACAACAACTCCGTATTCCGCGGCAAATATTGCCAGCTCATAGAGGCGAGTAACGAGGTCCCAACGCGCAGTGATGTAGCCAGCGACGAAGATGCCGAGGGTCAAGGTCGAGAAGGGGTGCATAGAGCGTTACTGCTGCCTGTAGGACATGCCGCTGGCTGGCCAAGGGAGCAAAAGAGATCGAATCGGTGTGATTTGTCGCCTCGAGCTCAAGGTGGGATGGCTGATGCTTGGAGCGATCGATGGTCGGCGGTTGCGCGCGTTGCGTTGCGTCGGCGTCGGCGTCGGCGATTGGCAGGAATAAGCTCGGCAGAAGCAACAGACGGCCAGTCGCTGGGGGGTGGACAAGCCCAGCAGAAGCCCGAGCCGCAAGCTGGATTATATGCTGAAGCCGCAATGCGAGGGTGTCGAGAGGTTCTGCTCTGGCTGGCGGGCTATCCCTGATGGCACGTAGCCAAAAAGTGCAAGGCGAGCAGCTCCTCCACTAAAAAGCACAACCGCCCGCCGAGAGTGGAGGCTCTCGAGCAGCGTTCGCGCCTGGCAGCGAATCACGTGGCCGGTAATTGACGACCATCCCCTCTGCTTGCGTGTATCTCACGATGCTGCGGCCCGGATATGCATGTTTGCGTCGTGCGTGCGCCGGGAGTACGTAGGCTTTCGACTTACAAACCACCAGGAAACGACGTTGCGATATTTATATGTACGGATCTGAGCTGCAAATACGAGGTTACAAGTCTAAGCCTCTCCGCATGCCAACGCATCGGCGGGCATGCCCTCCTCCCCTGCAAGTGAATGATACATCGAGCCAAACATTGCTACTCTGGCCAGCCATTAATAAAACCAACACGTCTTTCTTGGACTTGATTCGTGGACTTACTCCTCGGCGCCGTTAACCTTACATCGTTTTCCTTGTTGTCCTCCCGGGCTTCATCGAGAAGCTTATCTATCCCTCGGTTCTTTAGTGCAACCTAATCGAGGTGTCAGCATGATATCGTAGTTCTTTTTTTTTTTCTCTTCCCTGGCATGTTCGTACGTTTAGGCACTTCTGATACTCGTTGAACAAGCCAGCACACTCTTTGTTGTCCTTTTCAGCCCCGCGGAGATATTCTGTGTAGGTAGTTAGGTGTAAGTTCAAATTGCAGCTTTGAGCACGATCATGGGAAATATCTCACTTTCGCTATACCATTTTAAAAAGCATGTGTCGTAGCGCCTTGGTTCTTGTATAAGTGGAATGTAGAGAGTCTGTCTGTTGGAGGTCATGAGCGCACTTACTCCTTCACCTCATTACACTCTGGTGCCAGCGATGCCGACATTTTGTTCCGGCTTAGATCTGGATCGATCTCTCAAAAGTCTGTAGATTGGGCACCCAATAGATGCGGTATGCTCGTTTGTATAGCGACAATCTCAGCACTACTAGATCAAGTACTGATATTGATATGCGAATTTCTTCAATACTAGTTAGGTAGATGCCGAGTTCAAGACTTGATTCAACCCTCTGTTCACTGTAAGAGCTTAAAGTATTCCAGTTTCTTACAGCCTGCAAACCTCAGGCCGGAGTTCCATAAAAAAGTCGAGCTTGCCCCGTCATTGGTCGCAGTGACACATCCGGCCTAGTTCTGATTGGAGCACTGAACCTTGTCCGCTCAACTCTGAGACCCATTTCGACTGCAGGCTGGAGCTTCAGCTTCAATTGAAACTCTCCAATCACAGCTCGATCGCGTCCCAGACGCGCTTCTCCAAGGTCGACAACAGCAAGTGCAGCTTCATCGGATCCCGCATACATCACGTGCTGCAGCTGTAGCTGAATTACCAAAAGACGCAGAATCAATTCGTCTGAAATCTCCAGCTGCCATGGCGCCTTCGGCAGCTCAACTCAAGGCAGCGCTCATTGAGGGGACCCGCGAGGTGTACAGCGCAGAGCCTGACGGTACTTCCGTCAACAAAGTGCGCCGGCATGTCGAAGACAAGCTTGGGTTAGAAGACGGTTTCTTCACCAGCGACACGTGGAAGCAGAAAAGCAAGACAATCATCAAGGAGCAAGTTGTGAGTATCAATAATTTCCAAACGAGCCGCCCATGCTTCTTTTCCGACCTACCCCGCTAAAACCATCTGTTTTTAAAAAAGGACAAACTGCTTGATGAAGATGCTTCTGAGCCAAAATCCGAACCAGACTCAAAAGTTGGCATCAAGCGGCAATCGTCTGAACTCGAATCCCCGAAACCAAAGCGACGAAAGAAGACATCAGGACCAGCCAAGAAGAAAGAGGAGGCGGACGTTGATGAAGCTCCCAAGAAGGAGCCCAGTACAAAATCCAAGAAGCTTGTATCTCGCCGCAAGGCCAAGGCTGAAGTGGATGATTCTGATGATCAAGATACCAAACTAGAAGGAAGCCCGTCACCTGCCAAAAGTCGGAAACAAAGCGCGAAAGAAGAATCTGAAGACGAATTGAAACCCAATCCTTCCAGCGGAGGAGATGACACAACTGTCAAAAAACAGGATACCCCAGGTGACGAGATCAAGCCGCCAGTAAAGGATCAATCCGATTCAGGAGCAGAGGAGGCCAAGGCAGATGTTAAGGATGAATCGAAACCAGAGGTGAACGAGGAGGATGAGTACTCCGATGTAATCGACGAGCCACCACCTACAAAACGCAAGAGAGGCGAGAAGAAAGAGGCCTCGTCGAAGCCAAAGGTCTCCAAACCAGCAGCTAAAAAGGACGCCGCGCCGGATGATCCTAAGGAGGCGGAAATCAAGAAGCTTCAATCACAACTTACCAAATGCGGCATTCGGAAGTTGTGGCACATGGAACTAAAGCAGCACGGAGACAATGCCGGAGCAAAGATTCGCCATCTGAAGAAACTGCTGGCAGAGATTGGCATGGATGGGCGTTTCTCAGAGTCCAAGGCTCGTGAGATCAAGGAAATGCGAGAGTTGCAGGCAGATGTTGAGGCTGCTCAAGAAATGGACCGCCTTTGGGGAACCAGCTCTGGTGGACGAGCTAGCAGAAGCAAGGCCAAAACTACTGCCCCAGAAGCCAAAGTGGAGAGTGCAGAAGAGACCGGGAATGAGGACGACGGCGAACCTGCTTCTTTTGCTGCGAGGCGAAGGAGAGCCCACGCGGATTTGGCGTTTCTGGGAGACGACAGCGATTCCGACTAGACGACTGCTGGCCAGTTTTTGATTTACTCAGTAAGCGGTTTCTGAAATGTACGGATCATGCGGCATGGCGTTGGGTTTGCGACCACTGGGATATCACTGAACGAGCTAACGTGATTTCATTTAATGCATTATCTCTGTCTTTTCTTCTTCTTCAATTCATACGGATAATCGTGTTGGGGTGCAGGAACAGGCAATGGAGCTTCAAAAACCAGTCAATTAAATTTCATCATTACTAAACGCTGGCCGCTTGCCTTTCCCTCCCTCTACTCTGACCAAGCCTTGTACACAATTCTTGAGCCATAAGTCTCGCCCTTCTTGACGATGACCATGTCCCTCCATTCTGGGACGTTGACTGCGTTGATCCAACGGCCGGGCTCGCAGCAGAAAGCACTCCGTGCGCCTCTCGCCGGCAGGCCCTCGACAGCGGGGACCTTGGTCAACTCACCTGTGTAAAATTGATAAGACGGCTCCGTGCTCAGGACTTCCAAGTGGATGCCGGACTTGGGGTGGAATGCGGCGAGGTTAAGAGCAAGAGGCTGTGATCGGGTATCGATCGGTACGGAGGATGGGTCGGAGGTGGTTGTAAAGCAGCGGTCGACTTTTGGTTCCGTGGGACCAAGGACGAAAGGCTTGGTCGTCTCGACACCAGGGAAGGGAACAGGGTTGCCAATGGGGATAGAGTCTTCCTCAGCAGGGAGGTGCTGGTTGGTCGAAAGAGTGACGGTGGTGCCGGTGATGTTGTCGTCGCCAGTGAGGTTGAAGTAGGAGTGGTTGGTCAGGTTGATGATGGTCTCGTCGGCACCCTCGACCAGCGTCGCCTCGTACTCGATGCCCAGAACGATGACCTCCTTTCCGTCAACCACCTGGTTTCCAGAAGTGTAGATGACCTTGGCCTCGACGGCGCCGGGATAGCCTTCGTCGCCGTCTTCGCTGCGGAGAGTGAACTCGACGCTTTCACCACCCTTTAAGCCCTGCACGCCGGGGATTTCCTTGGTTCCCACGGGAGTCGGGCCTTTCCAGATGCGCTTGCCCCAACCCTCGTTGCCGCCGTGCAAGCTGTTGGAATAATCGTTGGCTGCAAGTGGGTACGCCCTGCCGTTGAGGCTGTTGATTTTGGCGTCCTTGATGCGGTTGGCGATGCGGCCGATGGTCTCTCCGAAGTACGCCGAGTTGTACTTGACATACTGCTCCTGCTCGGGGAATCCAAGCACGATATTTGTGTCCTTGACCTTGAAGGACTGGATGATGGCCCCGAGGGGCAGGAACTTGAACGCGGCGTCAGTCATGGTAGCGTGATGAAAACGGGTTGGATTGAAATGTGTTGTAAATCTGAAAGGGGCCAGCCCGAGACGTTTATATTTCGAAAAATAAGAATGCGATGACGCCGCCTATGGAGCTACTATGGGTATTAATGGCGATTATCTCGGATATATTGTGTGGTCTCGAAATTTCCCCGTTTCTTTGTTAGGATCGCATTCAGCCTGTTTATCCGTCGCGAGAGCCGTTTTGAGCGGATATTGAAAGTGACGCTCCACAGTCACACAGGCGAAGCTTCGATGACGGCGGGGCAATGGCGGGGTAATTTGGGGGTTTTTGTTGGAGACTTGCTGTTGAATTATCGGAGCTCAGACTTAGGTAGGGGAGTTTCTCCAAAGCCGTTGGGGCCCTGATCCGACGCCTGGAAAAGCAATATAGCCGGAATGGGGTTGTTTGATCCGTCATTACTTGGCGATATGGATCATCTGATTTTGGTTGACGATTTGACTATGAAACTAGTAATAGCTGTATAACACTAGCTTCTTTTCTTAAACAGTCTTTTACGCCATTTGAGGACGAAGTAGGTACCTGAGGGAACTAAGTAGAGCAATTGATAGCAGCCTGCGTCTCAAGTCTGACAATCTGGATGTAAGTACATGGGATACCGTGCCTAGCTCAAGTTATCTCCCAATACTGAGGTGCTTTCTTCATTCAATATTGGTTTCATAGCTCTTCTTACACCACGTCCTCTCTTCTCTCGATAGCCTGTGTATTCACCTGAGGCAGAGAGAGAAACATGTGCTCACGGCTTGGCTCTTACGCCGGCAGAATACCGCCAAATGCACTGGATCTCTCTCAACCTAGGAGAGCTTCAAAGCATCACGTCTAAAACTGCCGTCTGTTGAAACTGCCATGAAAGACTTCGGGTACCTTGCCTATTTAAACATCTCAACAATTCTTCTCTTCAATGTGAAAATTTTCCACCCTCTTACCTTTTATACCTCGGGCTTTTAAAACTCCGCTGAGGCTGTACCTTACAGCGGGCTTATGCTCCCCCCACAGCCCGCTTTCGCCCTGTTGCAGAGTACTACCATCAGATCTCTCTCGCTTCCCACGTGGCGCTGTATTCAACTCGCAGCGGCGTCGCTGGTCTTGTGACGCTGCTATGCAGGTTACTTAGTAGCCAGCGCAGCCCAATCAACTGCAAACGACAATTTCATGTCGCTCACTTTCATCCCAACACTCGCGAGCCTTGTCCTTGCTTCGGAATCTGCCTTCCGGCAGCACAAGTTGCCTGACCGCTTTCCGGCCCCCAGTTCACGATAGCCGCTGACACCCGACGCCATAACGAGGGCCGTTCTTCAGCACTCTCCACCTGCTCCTCGTCACCCTTGCTCTCGCTCTCGCACCTCTCACTACCGAGCCGAGAATCCTAGGACCATGGCAGACCTCGTAAACGTCACGCCTAAGCGGAAAAGAGGAGCAGATGTCTCTTTTTCGCCGTTGAAGTTTTCATTTGACCTCTCCGCGACCGGCGCACCAGAGGAAGGGGGCAACAGCCCTCGCTCGTCGACAGTCGTACACAGATTCCGCGGCCTTGCGCTTGAGAACGGCGCGGTAGTCGAAGCTGCTGATGAGATGGACGTAGAATCCGATGCGTCTACGAGGAAACGCCATAAATTAGATCAAGATGCTGCGGTGGTGCAGCCGCAACCAGAGCCCAAGCTGGTGTTTGGACCGGAGATGGAAACTACCGCAGTGGTTGAAATGACCGATCGCGCCGTGTTACAGCCCCAAGTCCAGCCTCCCTCGTCCGAAGGCCTCCTCCAGAACGCAAATCCTTCCATCAACCGCTTGTCCGAGTCCCAGTCAAGGAAGAAGAGAGCTGGCACTCCCCCCCTCCGATTTAAAAAAGGGCATCCTCAAGAAGGACTGTCCGACGCCGATGACGAGGCGGAAGTCGTAGATCCTTTGCGTGCGTCGCTAACCTGGCATGAGGATGAAATCACAATATACGACCCCAATGACAAAGATGACGACGGCACCGGTATCAACGGCGTGGGGTTCAAGCCCACCCCGGCACTTGCGCATGCGCGGGTCATGAAGAGGCGACAGCAAATGGCGGAATACAGGAAGCGGGAAGAGAACGAAGCCAGGAACAGGAGAAGCCAGAGGCGCCGAGGAGAGCTAGCTGCATCAGCCAGGCGAGATCGCAAGTCACCACCTTCGAGGAAAGTCAGATTTATGGATGCTGAAAGCAGGAACATTACTATGACGGCATGATTATGAACATCTACTATTGACGATTGGCCAACTTGAAACGTATACTGGGAATGGGTATGGGCACAGGAATGGGCATGGGCAAGGGCGAAGATATCAGGAATATGCCCGACTTACGACGGTGTTTGGGCGCAATCTCTTTATGACACGAGCGAAATAATTTGACAACGACCTTGGGGAGGCGGAGACGGGATACGGATTGATGGGCGGCGTCTACGGACTAGACTGCCTGGCGTTGTGATTTCCCCCCTCTGCCACTTTTACTCTTTTCTCACTTGTTTCCTTCCTTCTTTCTTTTTTCCGTTTCCTAAGAACTCACAACGTTGCTTGCCTGTGGTTAGATGATAATAGCCACACTGGCCACCACTTCCATTGGCACTTAGAAAGTTTCAATATATACGGCCTATACTCTTCTCTCACGTATTGAATCCAAGTAAAGATCGCCGGGGCATCAAAGATAGAGTCTTTATTCATACATATAATGGTACATGGCAGCTCATCTGCCTTGGCTTTCACCAAAACTTATACCAAGCCTTATTCCGGGCTCTCTGCTCCTCCTCTATCCTCAACTGCTCCCGCCTCTCTTCGGCTATTCTCTTTGCCTGCTCTTTTCTATTCTGCGAGACAACCTCGATGTGCCTCTTCATCTGAATCTTCTCGGCACGCCGTTGATACTGGCAGTACTCGTACGAGGCTATGCTACCCAAGAGGAAGAAGCCAACCGCCCAGTTGGCAGATTTGGCAGCATTGCCTATCGACAAGCTAAACGTTAGCCACGAGGACTGACACTTGATATGTAGCATAAGTAGATGTTCGGCATGAAAAATACCTTGAATCACAAATTTCAAGCCGCCCAGGCCTGCTCCCGCCCCAATTCCCGTCAGCAATCCTTGCCGTGCGCAGGGCGTATTTGCTACGTTTGCAAAATCATCCTTTTTGATCATTGAGACCGCCTCTGCAAAGGCAGACTTTGAACCTCTCGGAGTTCCATCTGGATTCTTGTCTGGCCCTTGGAGACCGGGAACCTGATCGCCCTCTGCCATCGGCTTCGACCACACGTGCAGCACTTTTTCGTTCGCATTGGGGCGTTCATTGTCGTTGGTCGGGGCCATTTCTGGCTACCTCGCTTGTCGAATTGGTGGCATGGACGGCGCTGGCCCAGCTATTTGCATGTATTCACTGGACGGCAGTTATGACGCTCGAACGATTTATACGAGAATTGTAGCTCGTAGTGGACTGTGGCTGTGCAAAGCGTTCATGTTCTGTGTGGCTAAAATCAATTAAAGATGTGGCGCTTACTAGCCAGGTCCATTCGCGTATTCACGCGTAGCGGCGCGTCTCCCTGCCACACATCTTCACGAAACATCCTTGCAGGCCAATTGTTGCTTGGTCAGGGCTCTGCTTGACCTTGTTTGCCAGCTCGGACGGCTGCTGTGCGTTTTTGCACTGCACTAATCAACCACAACGACAAACAGCTGCTTCAGCCGATTCTCAGTATCAGCATCACAGCGGCCAGTGCAGAACGCCATAACCCATGACGGACCTATTATAACCGATTAAGTTCGAGTTCTCTTATTGCCAGCTCGGCAGCGGTCCCGCCCGATAAATCGTCTTCCAATATGCCAAACACATCTCTTCGCCGCCCAGCAAAGGGCTATAAAAGAGGAGGGAAAATTGCATATCATGGCCCAAGAACCCGGACTTTCGCTGCGTCCTCGAGGGCTGAAGGTACCTCTGCTGACGAAAAGTGGGAGCGTACTCGCTTGGCCCAGAGCATTGACGACAAGATGGGTTTTGTGCGGTACGAAAGCGGAAAGAAGAAGGAAGGATGGCTGGTCAACGTTCAACCAACTTCTGTCGAAGATGAGAGGATACCAGGCGGACGAGCAGCATTAGACTGCTACTTCATCGAACTAGATGGAAGCACCTTCAAAGCTACGGTCGAATACGATCCTTATATCGTAATTGCCGTCAAGAAGGGCCGCGAGTCTGAGGTTGAAGAGTGGCTGAAGAGAGTACCTGGTGGTGGTGTTGTGAAATCACTTAGGAGGGTGGAAAAAGAGGATCTCAGCATGCCAAACCACTTGATGGGCTACCGACGGACATTCATTGAGATTCGGTTTGCCAATGTCGGCGATCTGATGTCAGCGAAAAGAGACATTATGCCAATTGCGGAGAAGAACAGGAAAAACATGAATGCCATGGATGCTTATGCTGAGGTTGCTACGTGAGTATTACAGCCCGCTATCGTGGATATCTTTTTGGGACGTTGGTGGATTCTAACACGCATAACTGCAGGACTAATGGCGACTTCGACCTTTTTGATAACGATTTACGAGATGACGATCGAAACACGAGCACTTCTATTTCTGAAGCAAGCGACTTCATCGTTGATATACGCGAATATGATGTTCCATACCACGTTAGAGTAATGATAGACTTGGGTATATATCCCTGCTTATAGCAGCAACTTGGGCTTGGCTAACCGAGACTTTAGATATAAGAGTCGGAAAGTGGTATTTTGTTGAGGCAAAGCATGGCGTCACAAAAGTCACATTAAACGAGGACAGGTCTTTGCCAGCTGATCCTGTAGTTATGGCATATGACATCGAGACATCAAAACTGCCCCTGAAGTTTCCCGATGCCGCTACCGATCAGATCATGATGATATCATACATGATTGACGGCCAAGGTTTTTTGATCACAAATCGAGAAATCATTTCCGAAGACATTGGCGATTTCGACTATACACCCAAGCCCGAATACCCCGGTCCTTTCATGATTTTCAATGAACCGGACGAGAAGTCGGTTATTGAGAGGTTCTTTCTTCACATCAAAGAGGCACGTCCTACTGTTATTGCAACTTACAACGGTGACTTTTTCGATTGGCCGTTCGTTGAGGCAAGAGCAAGCGTAAACGGTATCGACATGTACCAAGAGATTGGTTGGAAGAGAGACAACGAAGACCAGTTCAAGTGCAACTACAGTATTCATATGGATTGCTTTCACTGGGTTAATCGAGACTCATACCTGCCTCAGGGATCCCGAGGCTTGAAGGCTGTCACAGTTGCCAAGCTGGGATATGACCCTGACGAACTCGATCCAGAATTGATGACACCATATGCAGCGGAGCGGCCGCAGACGTTAGCCGAGTACTCAGTCTCCGATGCCGTTGCAACTTACTATCTGTACATGAAATACGTACACCCTTTCATCTTCTCTCTCTGCACGATTCTGCCACTAGGAGGAGATGACACCCTCAGAAAAGGCACTGGCACACTCTGCGAAATGCTTCTGATGGTGCAAGCATATCAGCAGGAGATTGTGCTGCCAAATAAGCATATCACCCCAAAGGAATCCTTCTGGGATGGTCATTTACTCGATTCTGAGACCTATGTCGGTGGTCACGTCGAGAGTATCGAGGCTGGAGTCTTTCGGTCCGATATCCCTGTCAATTTCGCCGTTGATCCCGCTGCAGTTGACGAGCTCTTAGGGGACATAGACAATGCACTCAAGTTCGTCATTACAGTTGAGGAGAAGAAGTCTCTAGACGATGTCACCAATTATGATGAAGTCAAGCAGCAGATTGTGAGCAAGCTTATGAGCCTGAAAGAAACTCCTAATCGTAATGAAAGGCCGCTCATATACCATTTGGATGTCGCCTCCATGTACCCAAATATCATGACGACAAACAGACTGCAACCGGACTCGATGATATCGGAATCGGATTGCGCGGCCTGCGACTTTAATCGGCCAGGCAAGACATGTGATCGAAGAATGCCTTGGGCCTGGAGAGGAGAGTACATACCTGCGAAAAGGGACGAGTATAACATGATTCGACATGCGCTCGAGAATGAAAAGTTTCCTGGCAAAACACCACATGCCCCGCCGAGAACATTCCAAGATTTGAGCACGGATGAACAGGCAAACCTAGTGAGGAAGCGTCTTCAGCTCTATTCTCAGAAAGTATACCACAAAATCCACGACTCCACGACTATTGTTCGAGAGGCAATTATTTGTCAGCGAGAAAATCCCTTTTATATCAACACTGTCCGTGATTTCCGTGATCGCCGATACGACTACAAGGGCAAGGCAAAAGTCTGGAAAGGAAAGACGGATGCGCTTAAGTCATCTGGTGCCCCTGGCAATGAAATTGACGATGCGAAAAAGATGATTATCTTGTATGACTCTTTGCAGCTTGCGCACAAGGTCATCCTGAACTCTTTTTACGGATATGTCATGAGAAAGGGCTCTCGTTGGTACTCCATGGAGATGGCGGGTGTTACTTGCTTGACGGGAGCCACGATTATTCAACTCGCTCGTCAGCTTGTTGAGCGCCTTGGCCGACCTCTTGAACTGGACACCGATGGTATTTGGTGTATGCTTCCCGCCACCTTCCCCGAGAATTTTGCCTTCAAACTGAAGAATGGCAAGAAGATGAACATATCTTATCCTTGTGTCATGCTCAACCACCTTGTGCACGACAAGTTCACCAACCACCAATATCAGACTTTGGTGGACCCTAAAACTTTCAAGTACGAAACTCATAGCGACAATTCCATCTTCTTCGAAGTTGACGGCCCGTACAAGGCCATGATTCTGCCCACCTCAAAAGAAGAAGATAAAAATCTGAAGAAGCGATATGCCGTGTTCAACGACGATGGCAGTCTGGCAGAATTGAAGGGATTCGAGGTGAAGCGCCGTGGTGAGCTTAAGCTGATCAAGATCTTCCAACAGCAAATTTTCAAGTTCTTCCTGGAAGGAGAAGATTTGACTCAATGCTACACTGCCGTGGCCAAAGTTGCAAACCAATGGCTAGATGTATTGCATAGCAAAGGATCTACGCTTGCGGATGAAGAGCTGATGGAACTGATTTCTGAAAACCGAAGCATGTCCAAGACGCTGGAGGAGTACGGTAGTCAGAAGTCTACCAGTATCACAACTGCACGACGTCTTGCCGACTTTTTGGGTGAACAAATGGTCAAGGACAAAGGTCTGAATTGTAAATTCATTATTTGTTCTCGCCCACGAAATGCACCTGTCACCGAGCGAGCCGTTCCCGTCGCCATCTTCTCTGCAGAAGAAACCGTGAAACGCGCATATCTGAAGAAGTGGCTCAAGGAAGAACCTGTAGATACCGACCCTCGAGCTCTTTTGGACTGGGATTATTATCTGGAACGTCTAGGATCCGTTATCCAAAAACTCATCACCATTCCCGCCGCGTTGCAAAAAGTCCGCAATCCCGTTCCTCGAGTTCCTCATCCCGACTGGCTTCAACGAAGGATAAACATCAAGGATGACAAGATGAAGCAAAAGAAGCTTACGGACCTCTTCAGCACCAAAGAACCGCTAGCAGATATCACAAATATTAACGGTTCTCGGGCGGAAGACATGGAGGACTTTGGCTCCAAGCTGCTGAAGCCCAAACAGCTCGGCGCGCTCATCGCATCATCCCAGCCACCGCCTACCTCTCAAAAGCGCAAATCTCCTGAACCAGCGCGAGAGCCAGACCCTATGGCCGCTTTGCCGAACGCCATACCTGATCCATCTGAAGACTATGTTGACTTCTTGCAATATCAGAAAATGAAGTGGAAGTTGCAGAAGCAGGCACGTATTCGGAGAAGGCAACTGTTTGGCGAGAGAAGAGGCAACGTGAGCAGCAACATTCAGCAAACATTTATGAAGCAGGCGCATTTTACGTTTATGAATACGTGGCAGCTGCTTCATCTGAAAGCCACTGATACCCCTGGTATCGTGACCGCTCACGTCTTGATTGATGCGAAGATCCATACTCTGAAGATCAACGTTCCTCGACAGGTCTTTCTCAATCTTAAGAAGGAGGAACTGCCAGATGTCGAGATTGCCGGGTGCCAGGTTGAACAAGTAAACTATACTCTCCCCAACGGGCATCAGTCTAAGCATCTCTTCAAACTCACTGTTCCAGAAGACATTTACTTCAACGAAGCAGAAAAATTCTCTCTCTTGTTCAATCACCCCAGCGTAGAGGGTGTGTATGAAAAACAAGTACCCCTGAATATTCGCGCAGTGCTTCGGTTGGGCAATCTCTGTGCCATCGACGAGGAGCAAGAGGCTGTCCTTGGCAGGGGTCTCG